CTATAAGATATTAAAAATGTGTAGGTATACATATTGATATGAACGAATTTAATGATAATCAATCATTTTATTAAATCACAAATTATGTTAATTAATATTACACTTTATTGACATATAGAAAAAATAGAATTTATTTCTTTTCAATTACAACTAATTTTACAGTTCCGTTAAAATGTCATATTCAAACATTAAAAGATGTCACACAATATCTGTAGGTACATAGGTAATAAAATAATAACAGTATTATTTTCTTTACAAAAATGTATTTGATATATTATTTTACAATAACTTATTCAGTAAAAATCTCAGATAAATTTATTGATTTAGAATCCAGGGGACATAGGACGTAACTCTCGCGTATCCGGCGGGCAAACCAGCTTCACAACCGGCACGGGCACCGAAGGATATCACTCCGATCTGGAAATAAAAAAAATTGAAGTTCTATAATGATAATAATCTCTAAATATTATAAATCACGCAGACATTATTGCGGTTCAAGCGCTATGTCGTAATTGTCAGGCTTAAGTGCCACATTTCGGGCCCACGACAGGTCATGATTATAAATCAGAAATGCAGTACACAGTCAGTACAGTTTTTAAGACCAATTGAAATTTGAATTGAATTTCTTAAATTGTTTCTTTTTTTAAGTTGAAATGGCAAACAAGTTAATGACCCATCTGATCGTAAGTGGTAACTGTTGTCTATATACATGAACGAATGATGAGGTCTATAGGCTAGGTTAACTGTGTGCCATCAGATGGGCAGACCTTTAATTATTTCCCAAATTATGTTAATTAAACAGAGCCTAAGTATAAAAAATATTCTTATGTAATTGGGAAATTTATTTCTGGAATGTTTATATATATATGCATGTAGTATATTTATGTATGTAAATGTACATGCATGTTGAACTTTTATGTACACACTACACAATACACTCGTGCGATGTAAAGGTAAATTATGTAAATCCTTACTATAAACTAAAACAAGTTGAAAAAGGACAATAATAAAATGTAAATAAAAGTGTTCTGATGCCTTAATGTCCGAGACGACTTGTCTTTTCTTGAGGAGACAACTACAATTAAAGGAGTAGAGACTAAGCAAGCATAGTAAAGTAGTAGATAAAGAACAAATATAGGTATATATACATGCTCATTTGGTATCACTGAGTTGAAAACAGTAGATGTTATTAAATTTAAAAAATTATATGTAAAATATATTCTTCATATTTTTAACGCACGTCTTTGTTATTTTTTAATTAAATGTTTGTTTTAGTATATAAATACAATAAATAATTGTAAACTGTAGTTGCTATCCATATCAGATTGTTTCAGAAAATCTATATTTATACATATGTGTATAAAAGTTAAAGATTATTTGCCAACACAAAACAACATTAACACACAGTCTGCCTGGTAAAAGCAGTATTATTTACGATTCCACGAAAACCTGCTCGTTTTTTTTATTTCTTGTACGTTGCTATGAAATGAAAATATGTCCCCACAGTATCCATTTATATCCACTACTAACAACTTCTCCATGCTTTGCACAAGTATAAATATTACAGAGATCATATATTTTTTGTAAAGAAAATAAACAGCGTATTACTTCATGATTGCTTTACAGACCTTTCTAAAGATTAATGAATTTATAAAATAAGTTTATTATTTATGAGTCCACAAAAACTCCACAAACGATTAACCTAATCCTTCCATCATGTAAATGGTTTAGAAAGACAAAAGAAATTGTTAATAAAAAATATACTTACCAAAAATCTAGTGGCTTTGATCCAGGTGGCTAGTGGACCACCAGAGTCTCCACTGCAAATACCACGTCCACCATTACCACTGGTGCAAAGTGTTGAGTCAATGATGACATTGCCATATACAGACAGACATTCACCGTTGCTTATCACGGGAAGAGTTACAGAGCTTAAGCTCTGGTTAAGACTGATTGATCCACCTGCAAATTAATTAAATTTATATTTAATCTGCGTAAGTATGAAAATAATATCAACCGTGTTTCTTGCCTACTCTTTCTGGATTACAGTTCGTTGCCTTGTCAAAATATATTATTATAATTATAATAATATCTACTAAGATGTGACCAACCGAAACTTCGTCTGTTTTTTTTTCGTTAAAGGATAAACTTGTTTTCTGATTTAAAGATCCGTTCAGTTGTGAAAAAATGGGAAATAGTCAAAGGGAAACACATTCGCATACGTACATTTATAATATATATGTTTTAGTTGAATGAAACTCACCATCGGAAGTCAAACCGTAACCAGAAGCATATGCATGCATCCTTTCAAAGGTATAGGTAAGTCCGCTAGGTAAAGCAATAGGTTGAATTACATCTGAAACAAACGCACAATTTTTGTAGAAAATATATTATTTAAATATCATGCTGCTTGCAATTATCCCTAACTTCGCTTCCTTTTGGAGAATAAATATAGCATATGTCTGTCCCCGTTATACCATCTATCTTTTTATCAAATTTTATTAAGACCGTGCAATAGTAGTGTAAAGGTAAAAAATAAAGATGGACAGATGAACATACTTTCACATTTATAATATTGTGTGAATTAATTTAAAGCTAAAATACAATTAGAAAAAATCTAATAATTCTTATTAAACTGTTGCTTAAATAACACCTTATTCATATATAAGAAATATAATGTTAGACATATACATCCCACAAAGAATATATAATTAAAAAAATAACTGTAGTATATGTACTTACTTGAGAATGTGACTGGAGTAACTCGAATGACGGCGATATCGTTGGAAATCGTGAGTGGGTTCCAGTTGGGGTGAACAGCGACATCAGTAGTATCAATGCGAACACCTCCAGAGAACAGTAGGTTGGATCCAAAGACAGTTGTAATAGTGGTAGAGGAAACAACACCATCGTAGTAACAGTGAGCGGCTGTCAGCACACGTGTATTAGAGAGGACACTACCACCACATACTGATGTGAGGATTACCCGGAGATTTATCACAAGACCCACCTGTAAATATTAAAGCACAGTAAATATTTTTTTCAACATATTATAACTAGATCAATATTTCTATTTTAACTACTTAAATATGAGATTATATTAAACCCTATTAAGATGAAGATATAACAAGACCAAAGTTTACAATGTTTTAAGATTTTCCAAAAAAAAAAAGACAGTCACATTTTTGATAGAATTAGTTTGAAGTTAACATTCGTCCCTTTTGAACTGAAGAAATAAGAAAATTCATTCTAAGTTAAACAATTATTCTTTCTTTAATTGTAGTAACATTTAAATAAACCATGTCGATTAAAATAGTAATAGAAATCCGTTCAGAATTAAACAATACGGGCTAATTATTTCTCTATTGTAAAACAAGAAGACAGAATATTCAAAAACGATTATTTTAAATTATTTTTTGCATTATTTTATTTCTTTACATGCGATGTATAAATGTAAAATATAAAAAAGTGAAAAAAAAATACGTCATTAAAATTGCAATAATAATTATTATTGAAACTTTTTCATTTGTTAATTGAATGTACTAAAAATAGAATAATGTTTATTATAGGCTTATAATAATAATAATACATGTGGTCACCTGAAATGGCACATGGGAAATATCAGTGATAGCTCCACCGACGATTCGGTCAAATCCACCACTAATACCCTGTTCCTCCAATTTCCTGATTTTATTCGCTGTTGGGATTCCAACCTTGTAGTGATAACCATAAACTCCTAGGTCTTCTGACAAGTTCGCCTCAGCGTATGAGACGGCTGCAAAAGCCAATACCAAAGTCAGTGCAATCAACTTCATGGTGTCGTTTTGTTAGTGAATACTATATTGATCTTCGGAAATAACTTTTATATATACGATATAAAAATCTTATCACTACCTATTAGGGGAATTACCTGTCTGATTAGTATACAAATATGATTGAAGAAGGTAATTAGTAAAGACGGATTATTATAGATCCTCAACAATAAAAGTATATAAATATAATGTAATATTAAACTAAAAAATGTAAAAGGTTTTATACTCCACAAATAATATTTGAATTTCGAATTGTGACAAACTTTTCACGAACACCGATGAAGCCGCGTAGGTTTATATGTAAATAAAATGATCTTTAAAATTTTTTTGGTAGATGATAGGTTATAAGGAATATCTAACCATATCCGTTATTCGTTTACGACAAAGTTTAAGTATTATATAGATTTATTTACGCTATTTATTTATTTTATTTACCCTAAGGGCTCCGCTGAAAATCAGCGCTGTAGTTTCGGCTGCAGCAATACGTTGAGTGGAGTCCTGTTTAGCAAATAATTGACAGCATATATTATAAAAGCAGTAAAGCGAATTCCGGATCAAAATTATGACGCCTTGGTTGAAGTACCACTCACTACTTCATACTATGTTACAATAGTAAACCCTACTGACATAGATTCTCAAAGTAAGGTTATTGATACGATCAGGGGTTGTTTAAAATGTAGCAGTAATAAGTATTTCATTCGTCATACTCGTGAACGAATGCTACTATTCGTGATTAATCCGTTCAAGATTACATGGAAAATTCATATTTAGATATTTTGGAAAATTTCTATGAGACAAAATCTTGAAAAAATTGAGACAAAATCAAACTTTTATTAAAAAGTTATAAATTTTATATTCTTTTTTTTTTGAGATATGCTCTTTCAATCTACCACATTGGATTTAAATATCATCAATAATATTAGATTATTTTTAAATATTTTAGTATCATGGAGTTTTATAGCTTAGATAGTTAGGTTTGATATAACATTATTCCTAAGCACTATAAGATATTAAAAATGTGTAGGTATACATATTGATATGAACGAATTTAATGATAATCAATCATTTTATTAAATCACAAATTATGTTAATTAATATTACACTTTATTGACATATAGAGGAAAGTGACCAAACAGTATTTGATATATTATATTACAATAACTTATTCAGTAAAAATCTCAGATAAATTTATTGATTGAGAATCCAGGGGACATAGGACGTAACTCTCGCGTATCCGGCGGGCAAACCAGCTTCACAACCGGCACGGGCACCGAAAGACACCACTCCGATCTGGAAATAAAAAAAAATTGAAGTTCTATAATGATAATAATCTCTAAATATTATAAATCACGCACACATTATTGCGGTTCAAGCGCTATGTCGTAATTGTCAGGCTTAAGTGCCACATTTCGGGCCCACGACAGGTCATGATTATAAATCAGAAATGCAGTACACAGTCAGTACAGTTTTTAAGACCAATTCAATTAGTTAATTTGAATTTCTTAAATTGTTTCTTTTTTGGAGTTGAAATGGCAAACAAAATAATGATCCATCTAATTGTAAGTTGTAACTGTTGTCTATATACATGCACGAATGATAGGGTCTATAGGCTAAGTTAACTGTTTGCTATCAGATGGGCAATAAGTTGATTTACCACCGCCGTAGTATAAAAAAATATTCTTATGTAATTGGGAAATTTATTTCTGGAATGTTTATATATCTATGCATGTACTATATGTATGTATGTAAATATACAAGTTGAACTTCTATGTACACACTACACAGTACACTCGTGCGATGTAAAGATAAATTATGTAAATCCTTATTATAAACTAAAACAAGTTTAAAAAGGACAATAATAAAATGTAAATAAAAGTGTTCTGATCGCTTAATGTCCGAGACGACTTGTCTTTTCTTGAGGAGACAACTACAATTAAAGGAGTAGAGACTAAGCAAGCATAGTAAAGTAGTAGATAAAGAACAAATATAGGTATATATACATGCTCATTTGGTATCACTGAGTTGAAAACAGTAGATGTTATTTATTAAATTTAAAAAATTATATGTAAAATATATTCTTCATATTTTTAACGCACGTCTTTGTTATTTTTTAATTAAATGTTTGTTTAGTATATAAATACAATAAATAATTGTAAACTGTAGTTGCTATCCATATCAGATTGTTTCAGAAAATCTATATTTATACCATATTTATACATATATGTGTTATATACACATATATGTACCAAAAAGTTAAAGATTATTTGCCAACACAAAACAACATTAATACAGAGTCTGCCTGGTAAAAGCTTTCATTTACGATTCCACGAAAACCTGCTCGATTTTTTTATTTCTTCTACGTTGCTATAAAATGAAAATATGTCCTCACAGTATCCATTTATATCCACTACTAACAACTTCTACATGTTTTGCATAAGTATAAATGTTACAGAGATATTTTTTTTTTTTGTCAAGAAAATAAACAGCGTATTACTTCATGATTGCTTTACAGACCTTTCTAAAGAGCAATGAATTTATAAAATAAGTTTATTATTTATGAGTCCACAAACACAAAACTCCACAAACGATTAAACCTTCCTTCATGTAAATGGTTTAGAAAGACAAAAGAAATTGTTAATAAAAATATACTAACCAAAATATTTCTGCCACTGCTCGAGGTGACTAGTGGACCACCAGAGTCTCCACTGCAAGTACCACGTCCACCATTACCACTAGTGCAAAGTGTTGAGTCAATGATGACATTGCCATATACAGACAGACATTCACCATTGGTTATAACAGGAAGAGTTACAGAGCTCAATCTCTGGCCAAGACTGATTGATCCACCTGTAAATTAATTAAAAGTTATATATAATCTGCGTAAGTATGAAAATAATATCAACCGTGTTTCTTGCCTACTCTTTCTGGATTACAGTTCGTTGCCTTGTCGAATGGAGAGGTCATAATATATTATTATAATTATAATAATATCTATTAAGATGTAATCCAATTGTTTTCTAATTCAAAGATCCGTTCAGTTGTGAAAAAATGGGAAATAGTCAAAGGGTTTTCAAATTCGCATACATACATTTATAATGTATATGTTTTAGTTGAATGAAACTCACCATCGGAGGTCAAACCGTAACCAGAAGCAAGTGCATTCACCCCAACAAAGTTATTGTTAAGTTCAGCTCCGGCAGGTAAAGCAATGGGTTGAATTACATCTGAAACAAACGCACAATTATTGTAGAAAATAAATTATTTAAATACTTGCTGCTTGCAATTACCTCTAACTTAATGAAGAAATAAGTAAATAATAAGTAAAGTATGCTATAATTATTCTCAAAAAAGAAACGTCCTTTTTGAGAATAATTATAGCATATGTCTGTCCCCGTTATACCATCTACCTTTTTATCAAATTTTATTAAGACCGTGCAATAGTAGTGTAAAGGTAAAAAATAAAGATGGACAGATGAACATACTTTCACATTTATAATATAAGTGTGAATTAATTTAAAGCTAAGTTATATACATTTCATAATTGTTATATTAATTAAAAAATTGTTAATCGTTAATTCTATGGTCATATCCAGTAAGTTATATTCTATCCAAATTCAATTACAAAAAATCTATTAATTCTTATTAAACAGTTGCTTAAATAGCACCTTATTCATGTATCTTAAATATAATGTTAGACATATAAATCTCACAAATATATATATATAATTAAAAAAATAACTGTAGTATATGTACTTACTTGAAAATGTGACTGGAGTAACTCGAATGACGGCGATATCGTTGGAAATCGTGAGTGGGTTCCAGTTGGGGTGAACAGCGACATCAGTAGTATCAATGCGAACACCTCCAGAGAACAGTAGGTTGGATCCAAAGACAGTTGTAATAGTGGTAGAGGAAACAACACCATCGTAGTAACAGTGGGCGGCTGTCAGCACACGTGTGTTAGAGAGGACAGTACCACCACATACTGATGTGAGGATTACCAGGAGATTTATCACAAGACCCACCTGTAAATATTATTATTAATAGTAAATATTTTTTTCTACATATTATAACTAGATCAATATTTCTATTTTAACTACTTTAATATGAGATTATATTAAACCCTATTAAGATGAAGATGTAAAAAGACCAAAGTTTACAATGCTTTAAGTATTTCCAAAAAAAAGAGACAGTCACAGTTTTGATGGAATTAGTTAGAAGTTAACATTCGTCCCTTTTGATTCTTTCAAAGTTAAACTATTATTCTTTTTTTAAATTGAAGTAGGATATTTAAATAAACCATACCGATTAAAATAGTAATAGAATTCCGTTCAGAATTAAACAATACAGGCTAATTATTTCTCTATTGTAACACAAAAAGAGAGAATATTCAAAAACAATTATTTTAAACCTTGCATTATTTTATTTGTTTACATGCGATGCTATAAATGTAAAATATAAAAAAGTGAAATCACTTTCTTATTCATTGTTAGTTGAATTTACTAAAAAATAGAATAATGTTTATTATAGGCTTATAATAATAATAATACATATGGTTACCTGATATGGCACTTGGGAAATATCAGTGATAGCTCCACCGACGATTCGGTCAAATCCACCACTAATACCCTGTTCCTCCAATTTCCTGATTTTATTCGCTGTTGGGATTCCAACCTTGTAGTGATAACCATAAACTCCTAGGTCTTCTGACAAGTTCGCCTCAGCGTATGAGACGGCTGCAAAAGCCAATACCAAAGTCAGTGCAATCAACTTCATGGTGTCGTTTTGTTAGTGAATACTATATTGATCTTCGGAAATAGCTTTTATATATACGATATAAAAATCTTATCACCTATTAGGGAAATTATCTGTGTCTGATTTGTATACTAAAATGATTGAAAAAGGTAATTAGTAAAGACGGATTATTATAGATCCTCAACAATAAAAGTATATAAATATAATGTAATATTAAACAAAAAATCTAAAAGGTTACTCCACGAATAAAATTTGAATTTCGAATTGTGACAAACTTTTCACGAACACCGATGAAACCGCGTAGGTTTATCACCACTATCCCCAATACGAAATTCATTGTGTAAAAAGCCATTAAACTTAAAAGTCATACGATGTCAACTAAAGTTACTGACAGCGTATATTACAAAAGCAGTAAAGCGAATTTCGTATCAAAATTATGGTTATTTAATTATCTTGGTTGATGTACCACTCACTAGTTCATACTATGTTACAATAGTAAACACTACTGACATAGATTCTCTAAATAAGGTTATCGATAAATATTTCGAATAGCAGTTATTTCGATTTAATTTTATATGTACAGTTTTACATAAGTACAGATAAAGCTTTAACAACAATTCCTGCACTTATAATACATTTAATACACATATTTTGTTTAACCACGCGTACAACTTTGTCTTTCTCTCTACTTTATAATTCTTCTATGTTTTTTCAATTCTTTGTGTAATATTCTTTCGACTTATGCTTGATTTTAATGAATAACAAATTAAAAGAAATTTAATATTTAAAAAAATTGTTAAAGTGTATATATTTTGACACATTAGGACAAGAATTTGGTCCGGCAATCTATGTGCGATTTCTAAATCAACATATTAGCTAACATATAAACGTTGTTATTATTAAAGAACATTTTTAAGTCACAAATATAAGTGAAAGACATTAATCTCTCTAGATTTATTATTAAGATCTACAAGTTACAAAAAAGTACATTAAGGAAACGTTGCATAGTTTTACATAATTATGATCCTATATTATTTTGTAGCACGTAATATCTCTTACAAGTTGACCTACGACACATGATGATTAAAATTATACTACGGAACCTTCAATAATAGCTTTACATAAAAAGATAACAACAGGATAAATCATACCATATATCAATGATAAAATTGTCTAGCTACATTTAAATTGTAATAGGCTAGTGCTTTTGTACCGATATAAGCAAAGAGTATGTATATTGAACATTGATCATTATAATATCTAAACTTATCTCTATAAATAATGTGGAAAACCGAATGCGTAACGTATGAATACTATACAAAGCATTAAAAACTACTTTCAATAATAAATTATTTTTCAAATTTCTTACTCCTTGAATCTAGCTGCTATAAATCTATTAAGAATAATTTAATAATTTTCTCTCGTAGCATATGTACTAGTATCTATAATAATATATACTACTGTACATATTCCTCTTTCACTGCATTAGAAATGATACTACAAATCTACAATGTTTTGGAAGTGATCAAATTTCGAATTATATTTATTTTATCGATGAATAAAAAGTGGTTTATTTTAAAAAATCAGAAATAATTTATAATATTATATCTTTCTATATAACACTTCTAAAACAATGTTAGTTATAAATTTTATTTCTAGCTTAAGTTCTTATTTATCATGGTATGGGACGAGTAGTGAGTAGGGACCCGTGAGTCTAAACTAGTTTATTATAATGATCATGATTATGATCAACAATAATTACTTATTAGTTATTTTTTACTAAGAACATATTTACATTAGGCATTTTTGTTCTGAAATAGGCGTCATATAAAACGAAATGTCTTTGTATGCAATATTGTGAAAAAATTGTGATTAAGATTAATTCTTTAATTCACACTCTACCTAACGTATATCTTAATTTGTCCACTGTTGAACATTGCTGTACCCTGTAAAAAACTATAAATAGATCCCAGAGCTAGTTACATATATTTTTGAGGTCATGGCAATATGGGATGACTCCCCTTTCTATGTAATTACCATTGCTATATCGGTATGGCTTTTAGAGAAAGTTTTACACCACCCGTTCAGTATTTATTACATACTGGAAATATATGATCAGCTTATCATTACTTCATATCATTGAGACTGTACCAGTCACTAAACAAACAAATTTTATGTTTTTTCTTTTTAATTCTAAGGCGCAGTGCAACAAGACTAATCCTTTGTATAACAACAGATTATATAACATAGATACATATTTTTTGGTTTATAGACTAGATGTAATCTGTTGTCCAAGATACAGAATTACGAGAAAGAAAGAAGAATTGCTCTCGGTATCAGTACTTATGTATGCTTCAAACTTTAACACTACGCAACAGATTTTGAAGCGGTCTTTAATAGATAGAGTGATTAAAGAGGAAGGTTTATATGTATAATAATAATTCTCAATTTTTTATTTAAAACTTGATATGACAGATTTTGGCTGCAAAATTACACAAAATGCACTAAATAATATTGTAAGTATAAAGTACGCGATAAAATTAGGTACCTAAGTATTGAATTAAATTAATCTTATCAAAACAGTCTTCACTTAAAACCTCCGTGTTTTAAATTCTGCTCGATGTTGCAACCTACCACTTTGTGCGCATTATCTATAATTATTAATCTTTGATATCTATAAGAATTGACGCACAATGACCACGCAAGTCTCATAATGAGATTAGTGTCATTGGAATTGTATTTTTAAATCATTATATTGTTAAGACTATTATTATTTAGTCATTGTTCGTAAGTGTAACGTTTCTCATATTCTGAAAATTTTAATTCATTTCTCTGTAATATTTATAAACAAAACAGTTTTTTTTTAAACTATTAAATGATCAACTAACTAACTATATATAATTGACTAAGAAATATATGTATGATCAGCGACCAGTCATATCCGGAGTGATCATAAATTTATGAGTTTTGTATATAGTACCTATATAGAGGTACTTCGAAAAGATGTAACTATGAATCAGTGAAATAATTTGTTGACAAGGTATAGTGGTTCTAGAGCTACCTTTTTCTTAACAAAATTTATTCCGTCTCTCTCTTTTTATTGTTATATCATTGTGATAATACGTGAAGCAAAAACTTTGTATCCCTTTTATAAAAATTAAGCGGATAAAGGAGAGAACGAAATTCAGTTAATTTTTTTATAGAGAAATATTAGGTATAAAAGCATAATATTTTTTATAATAATGTATAAAATGCCCAACTGCACAATGCGCATTGGTGTGTGTATTTTGCCCATGCGTTACCATTAGGCGTTTGATACATACATATTTAGTGGTCGAAAATGAAATCTTAATAACATTTAACCTTATAATAAATAAGTAAATAACAATAAATATTTTATTATTATTCATGAACTCTTCATGAGTGCATGAATAAATAAGTAAATAATAATAAAATATTTATTATTATTTCCTTATTAATCATGAACTTTTTATTGAACCAGAAATGTATTACAATGAACATAAATTACAGGGTATGAAATTACAAAAGGAGAACCTATGGATAGAGGAGAAGATTTAAATGAGTTTTAACTCATTTAAATTTTTAGTCCATTTCGACTTCACAGTATACAAATATCAAAGTTATTTAAGTGTAGACGACGTAATAATCAGTTAGCATTTTTTTGCAATCAGTCAGTTGAAAAAGAAATGCTTTGGGAGATAAATATACACGAAAGGTGGTTTGAAAAATGAATGAAGTTATCGTTCCCGAGAAGGGAATAATTGAGAGGGGCACAATCGAGATATGATGGATCTCACACCTCTTCGGCCCCATCAAATCGCTCTTCAAAGGGTAAATCTATATTTAAGTGCCTTGCGAAGTTCCTACTTGTAATTACATTTTTATGTTGTCGGGACTCCGGGCTTGTTACTAATGCCTCTTACAAATGCGAATATAATAGAGACCTCTCCCAGCGGGTTGCACTGAAATTTCTTCCCGTTGATTTTTAGTGTAGCTTTCGATTTAATTTGTATTATATGGACATTAACTATTACTGTGTAATCATGCTACTAATTTACTGGTGGAGTATGCTTTAACTGTGTAGATTAATGACCAAATGACTGATATACCTTAATGAACTAAATTGTAGATATTTATCGCAACATACGTCCATATATCTATTATCTCAATAAAAGGCAGACGAGGTCGCTACCTCGTTTTATACTAGCCAGTTCGGCATTAAAATATATTCAAACTGCCTAAAAAAGTTTTAAAATAAAACAGCAAATATATTACAAAAAGAGTCGTCTAATAAATGTCGATTTCAGAGGGTCAAGATAATACAAAAGAATTAGCAAGTTCTATTCCTTCGAAATCAGTAAAATATACAGTTTTTTATGTAATTGAAATGGCAAATATGCTGACGTACCACATATGGGCAAGTGGTAACCATAGCCTATATTTATATATATATACATTGTACATGAACAACACTACGGACCTCACTTTACTATATAACACTAAAGGAGTAAGTTGGGATGTCTCTTATCCTCTAATTTCACTGACTTATCTCACCCTACACAGAAACAGCTTACATTGTGAGATGCTTGGTGGCTGAAATTTAAAGTAGGGGAGATTGAGATACCCACGCAGTTAACTTTTCAGAAACTACCACTATTAAACAGTTAGAACGAAGATACACATCGGATTAATTACGGATCATCAAAGGAACACATGCTGCAGTCATTTTTATTTCCGCCTCGCTTATTTCTCCTGCAGCTTATTTAATACTTAGAAAAAAATATACTAATTTAAAAAATATATATATCATATTCTCTTTTTTATTGTCAATAATTAGTTTAGAGTCAAATATATTTCATAATTAAGCAATGAATCACACCTTAAAAGACGTTGTACCTGCCTAAATAAACATAATTTTATGAAATTTTATGTAGTTATTAGCGTATATTTAAATTATTTCAATAAACTTTTCATATTAGTTTTTTATAAAAAAAAATCTTACCAATTCTAAATTATACTAATTGATTTTAAAATACAGTATGCTATTTAGCATTCATATGTTGTTTTTTACGGCGGAGATAGGTTTAATATTGAATGTTTATTACATTGAAGATTATTATGATTAAAGATGATTATAATTGACTTTTCGGAATGGTACACCCGCCGACACTATCGATATACGCTGGCGAAACAACCGTGAATCATAAGATCAGGATACAATCAGGTCAGTTAGCCCACCGTCGAGAATTCATCAGGAATTTAATTTAAACTGTTAAGTTAAACTGTATAGTGTTTAAAATAAAACTTTCATCACGATTTATTTATTACAAAAAAGGTAATAATGTACCTCATTTAATTTATGTTAAAAAATGCATTGTTGAAATTACCCAGTAAGTCGTTAAAAGCCATTAAAAATGTAATTTGCTATACATGCAATGAATTACATATTGCACTTTATTGCTCACTTTTTCAAGCAGGCGTATATTAATATAATATTAATACTGGTATTAGGCAGTAATAATAATATATATATGTTATTTTTTTATCTTTAGGCATGACATATCAGTCCCCGGGATTAGATATTAAATCAGGGGAGGCGTATATAAATATATTATCTATTAATGCTGGTATTAAGCAGCAATAATAATATTAGAATATATTTATATACATAATATTATTTTATCTTTAAAACAGACATGATCTAATAATCCTCTGGATTAAATGGCATCCGAAATGACAGCATCTAAGTGAAATCAGGGATATCACATGATGCCGTGATTCACGTATATAGGCGACGGTTACCATTTTCTAGCAGTTCTAGCAGTTGGACCATTTACTTGTCTGCCATTTCAATCTTACTTCTTACTAATATTATAAACGCGAAAGTTTGTGAGTATGGATGCATGGATGGATGTTTGTTGGTCTTTTATGCAGAAACAGATTTTGATGAAACTTTACAGTAATGTAGCTTCTACATCAGAACAACATTTGTTTTAATGAATCATAATTTCTTTAATTAATCATAGTACATTATTGAGCAATCACATTATAACATTGTTGCTGCTGTGGGGAAAGTAAATTATTTGTTATTCACAAATGCGTTATCATAAATCAATGCGTGTTTATCTGAATTATATTTCATGCAAATAATATTAACGAATGTACAAACAATTATTAAGTAAGTTGCGTAATTACGTTCAATTATCTTCGTGTGTTTCATTCCGCATCTTCATACCTAATTGCATGAATAATCAAACTGGTTCTATTTATCTACCTACTATCAAAGTGTAATAATATCAACGTATAAGGTATTGTCACAACTCTAGTTTTCTTATTTCTTATTTATCCATAATAATATTATAAATAGTTCACAACTAAACGACTGAACGGATCTTAATGAAATTTGGCATGAAGATAAATTATAACACGAGGACGGACGAAGGTAGACTTTTATCTCAAAAAACACATCATGTCGTTGAAAACAGCTAATACTTACGTTAGTACGAATGCTGTTTATATACCTATATAGTTGAGAGTTACCACTTACCCATCAAACATCATCAAACGAGCTATTTTTACATTTCAATTAGGTATGTATAAAAAAAGTCGAAACTTTTCACTAACAATATTACACAATACTGTTACTGAAAAGTTTCGACTTTTTAACTACCCTATTGTCGATAAAACAGATATAATTTTTGTAGTACAATATGCATGCAATTTCCATTAATTTCTCTCTATATTAATACAGTTGTTTGCGGTAGGTTACGATATCATATAACATGATCTAGATAATACACATATTATAAACCATAACACACTACGTATGTACATTAATAAATAACAAGCAGTAAGCGGTGCATACCTATAAAATAATAAATATATACTTAACGCAGTCATAACAACTAAATATAGGTATTGATAACATTATATAGTGTCAAAAAATCATAGATAGGTTTATGTGATATTTGAACAGCGATTTTTGTGTCAATGTGTAGAAAAAGCTAATACCCAAAAATTAATAATTTCATAGCTTTCTATTATATATATTGACACAGAAATACCTGTCAATATCACATAAACACATATATAATTTGTATAAATACACAAAGGCTAACATTCAAATTTTTTAATCGACAGCTGCCAGGAAATTGATGCCGTTTACCTAGTATTTAAATATTTATGAATAAATATATTCTAAAAATAACTACGTCTGTGATTTTTCAATACGTATTTAGGTAACCTCCACAATTAAACTACAGAATATTTTTCAAATTTATTTATGGTAGATAGGTGACGTTGTTTAGTACCGCCATCTAGTAGAGTCTTTACGTACCAGTATGCGAATATCTCATAGCAACAGAACACATACTTACATTTGGAGTATTTTCCTGTTGCAAGATTTAGTCAACTCATCGACACTTCAAAAATAAATCCGTTTAATAACAATAATTAAATTCAGTTACCTATGCTTTCTTAAAAAAGTTGTTTACTTTAGTTTCATACGATTACATGTGTGGGCAATCCTGCACAAGAAAAATAATATTAAATAATAGTAATGTAAGCTTATAAGTTGTAACTATATATACATACGTTTCATGTATTGTTTATAATCTTATAGGTACCTATATGTATAATTTCATCCGCTAATTACACGTTAATAAACGCGAACCGCACTTATAAATTATTTATCTGTTTACGAATATAGGTGTATAAATGTGCTAACAAAAGAATACGAGTCCAGTGAAAACAGACTCGTCGGGAAGGGAGCACGCCCGTGGCGCCGGCCCGAAACGAGGTCACGATCAATGACGCCACGAATATTTCTAGTTCTTACGAAATAAACGCGTCGTCAGTCGTATTACCTCATAACGTCTACCTCTATTATTAGAAAGCTACGTAATCAGGCTTCATTTACACTCTAGTGATCATACAACAGTGGAACGAAACGAACGCATAAGCCACAGTTATGGATAAACGTATTGTAGTCGCTATTTATTTCATCGCGACTATATTCACAACAAACAGTTACAGAATACTCGGAGTGTTCCCCTCGTTCGATCGTAATAATTACCTCACGTACCGGCGATTGTTTCGGGAGTTGGCCAATCGGAACCATGAAGTAACCCTCATAAGCCATTTTCAACTCCCGGACGCCCCAGCAACATACAAAGAGGTGTTATTGAGCGACAAGCAAGTGCACAAAGGTTTATCGTTTGAATCAGTGATAGTAAATGAAGTATCGCGAGTGCCTTTCGAAACATTAGTCGCTACTAAAAGCGGAAACGATGACTGCAGGACTCTTATGAACAACCATCACGTGCTGCATATGTTAAGGACCCGACCTCGGTTCGATGTTATATTAGTGGAGTCGTATAACAGTGATTGCGGACTGGCTTTGGCCGCCAACTTAAGTGCTCCATACATTGCGTTCAACCCCCAACCTATTCAACCGTGGCAGTATAACAGATTAGGTGTAAATTTCAATGCCGCTGCTGTAACTCAAGCTGGATTACCTTATGGCAATGAACCGTGGTTTTTTGATAGGTTGAAGAGTTATGTCATATATCATATTTCCAACTGGGTGTTCTATGTTGGTTCTCAAGTAACAGATCACGTTTACCTGTACAAGTATCTCGGTGACGATCTAGCACCATTGGAAAGTATAGCGGCGAACGCAAGCCTATTGTTTGTAAACACGCACCAGTCTGTGTTCGGCGGTGTTTCCCGCCCTGATAATGTTATTGATATCGGCGGTATACATGTGGGACCTCCAAAAGTAATACCAACAGTAAGTATAATTGATCAACAAAAAGTATTTATCTTATACAAACTAACCCATAAAAACATCAAATAAGTACCTAAATAAATTTTGGCTTTGTGTTATCTGTGACTGTTTTGTCTCTTTCTTTCAATGTAAGATTCCATAATTGAATAAATTGTTTAATTTATTATGGGACTTTTGATATAATTTATTCACTATTGCATAATTTTATTCAATTTAAAATGACGTCGCTTTTATATTAAATCATCCTCCTATTTCTATAACACGTAGGTGTTTGATGTGACTAGGATCCAAGCTATGTAAACGTATAACACAACTATACTCAGTGACGTAATTATTAAGTAATGTTTGTACGATTCGCTGCACATCTATAGTTTATTGTAATTTATTTTTGTAATGTAGAACTGACTGCTGATAAAAGACTATAAATATTAAAGGAAGACTTGTATCTTCCTTAACTTGAAATGTTACATAAAAATATTATAATTATAGGTACTAGCTGTCCCGGCAAACGTTTTATTGTCATATAAATTAATAACGCTATAAAAAAATAGGGCTTGGTGATAGAAGGGTGAAAATTTAGGGTTGTATGTATAGTTAGTGACAAATAATAAAATAATATAAATAAAAAATTTTGCCCAATAAATAAAAAAATAATGTTAGGGGTGGACAACCCTTATCACTTAGGGGTATGAAAAATAGATAGTAGCCGATTCTCAGACTTACTGAATATGCATATAAAATTTCATAAAAGTCGGTCAAGCCGTTTCAGAGGAGTATGGTAACTAATATTGTGACACGAAAATTTTATATATAAGAATAAAAAGACATACTCACAATTAAAATAATAAATTTATTCCTATATTTCATATGAAATGAAAACCTTGGTTCCGAAAAGTTTTATACCATGTCTATACATGTGTTCTAACATATGTAGGTACTAAAACATATTAGTATTTAAATACAGACCAAATATAGACATACCTCATCATAAGCTTGTGTTCGCATGCGTAACCTGTTAAAATTTTCACACGTTTTATAGAATTAAACAAATGTGAATAATAAATATTAGGTAGGTAATGTTGTGACTTTACTTATATTGCCTAATAAAATTAGTTTACGAATACCTATTAAATATTATTTTTAATAACGCATTTAACAACAAACAAAAATCCTGTATATATAACTAACTGTACTAAGAGTAGGCAATATGATAATTTCCTTATTTTAAATATAACATCTAAGATACTTATTTCTGCCGTAAAGCATGAATTTAAATATTATTATTTTCAATGTGAACAATGATAACTACAAATGATATACGATTCAAGAAGCATAACGAAACCTTAGTTTCTTTCCGAAATTGCGATGCATGACGAAAGAATCATAGGCGGAATTTTAATGTTTAAAATTAATAAATTAATTTAATTTATTTACGGATTCGTTATATATATATGTTTAAAGGCTATTTTCATTTCCCGCCTAATTACTTAGGACATGTTTATCACTCCAATTAAATCTTTGACGAAAAAACGCTAGTTCTAACTACTAAGCGCTTTATACCTTCACTTTCTCGGAGGTTTCAATACCATATTGGCTCGCAGATACCGTAACTCTTGCCATACCAGTCTTCTGCTGTAGGATAACTTCAACTACCGCACTATTTGCGAGACACTTTTTTTGTTAGTGTCTTGATATCCTACATAAGATATGAAATCCTTCTATCTTACCGTACTTATATAATAATATTTTTAACTTCATTATATATACATCAAGTACTACCACTTATCTTATGAATCAATCCGTTTTCCACTTTCAAGATTATAAAATATTTTAATATTTAGCACATCATCATAATAAGTACATGTATTATCTTAATTTTTCAGGAAATTGAAAGATTCATCAATGAAGCCGAACATGGAGTAATTTATGTCAACTTGGGTTCAACAGTGAAGGACTCGACACTTCCAAAGCACAAATTAGAGGAACTTCTATCAACATTCAGTAAATTGCCATTAAGGATTATATGGAAATGGGATGGTAACAATTTGGATTTGCCCAGAAATGTTATGACAATGAGATGGTTTCCACAATACGATATTTTAAGTGAGTATAAGCTGTCTTAGATATTCTATTAACTATTCGGTTAAATTATACTTCTAATCTTATTTGTATACTACAACTACAGTAGAACATTCTACTTTTGACGGAAGACCTCCTGAAAGTAGGACGACGATCTTAAAAATGTATGCTGGTGACAAAGGGTACTTTATTCTAAAATATGAAAAGACTAGGCAGATATTGATAGTAATGATCATGAATAGTTAAAGAAATATTTATTCATACAGGTGAAAATTAATTTAGTACTATATCAGTAGAGACTGATTTCAAAACTAAACTCGAAATAAAATTTTATACCAAACACCGGGTAGTTTGGTCTAAGATTTACATTATAATATAGATTTTATAACGTATGCACAAATGAATAACCATGAATAAAATATGAATAGATAAATAATATGAATAAATTTATGTTTCAGAGCACGATAACGTCAAAGTGTTCGTTTCACACGCCGGGATCTTGAGCACCATCGAGGCTTTGGATGCTGGGGTACCTGTCATAGCAGTACCCCTATTCGGTGATCAGTATGGTAATGCCGCAGCACTTCAAGATTCTGGATTAGGCAAGATTGTTGCTTATCAAGATTTGAATAAGAAATATCTTTTAGATGCCATCAATGAAGTCTTGGATCCAGAGTAAGTAGAAATTCCTATTATTAGAAATAGGTATAAATTACTTCTGATCTAACTTGATGTTTTAAATGTATATTTGTTGGATAGAACCAGTATATTAATGCTAACAATATAAAAAAATAGTGTTATCTAGGTCGTACTTACTACTTATACTATTTTATATCAATGCAAACTATATGACAGTTATACAAGTACTATAATTAGCAAGTGCAACATACTATAGTCCTCTTCTTAATGGGCGTTAATTTGCCAAGTGATTATTGTTAAGCTTATTCTTTTTATACAATACCACAAAAACACTACTACAATATCCCATCTATACTGTATATTATAAATTAATTTGCTATTGTTATGTTGAGTACATTAACTTTTGTGCCCTCTAATCTGATTAAAATGCATAATAAAACACATACAGGTTAAAAGCGTTTATTACTAAGAGTGTAATGTGTGAATATTGGATTTAATTTTTTAATTAAAGAATGCAGTGATAACACTTTCATCGTGTAGTAAGATTCTAACAAAACTTTATATTTTCCAAATTTTTCTTTTAAGTATCGAATTCGATTATTCTTTAACTGAAAATAAAAAATACTGTTTCATCGTAATGGTAAAATGGTAGAATTATATACCACATATTGTATGTTGATAATTTTAGATTATTAAAATTCTGCTTAGTTTGTAAGTGTACACATATACGAGTACAGGTGTATAATAAGCCTGTAAATATTTATTAATAATAATATATCAAATAAACTTATATTTTTACTGATATTATTATTTTCTCTATTTTTACAGATGGCAACAACGCGCCAAACTTGTGTCACGAATATGGCATGACCGGCCAATGTCTCCGCTCGAAACCGCCATCTACTGGACGGAGTATGTAGCACGATACCAGGGTGCACCAAACTTAGCAACAGTGTCTGCTAGAATTCCTTGGTACCAGCAAGTACAGTTAGATGTCCTAGGTTTTGTAGGCATTGTAGCCTACATTTTAGCCTTTGTTGTATACAAAATATTGGTTAGTTGTTGCTGCTTTTGCTGCCGAAATGATTCTGAATCTCAAACTATTACAGAAGACCGAAGAGCAAAAAGAGTCAAATTCGAATGAACTGTTATGAAATAACACAGTTGGTTTGTATAATATCTTAGGGTATTGTGAAATCTAATGGAAATCTCGAAAGCCAAAGTCTGTTGGCGATAATAGAGACTGGAGCCGGTGACTTACTATTTATTGTATTGTTGTTATACATTGTGTATAAAGTACTTAATAGATCGATGTTGACTCAAATATATTTTGATATTAATTGTAAATACTTTTTCTATGCTAGGCAAGGTAAGCCTAAATAAAATCCTAATCCTAATAAGACCATTCTGAATATTATTTATCCCTTATACAATTTAGAGCTTTCCGATTATCTTACATAAGGATTTTAGATCGACAATATGCATAAACTAAGAATATTGCTTTACTAGAATCAATTCGAGATACAAAGTAAATAGTATATATTAAGAATTTACCTTCAAATTTACAAATTGTTGTCGTCAATCTATGATTTATTGTCTGGTGCAGTAGCTTAATTTGAAAAACACTGGCAAGAATCTCAAATGTTCTTTTTAAAATCAATCTACTGAACAACTAACTCAATGCATATTTGCCATTCAAATAAGTGATATACTATATATCATAATAATAACCCTGGACAATCCATAAACATACATAATACAATTTGTTATACGTACTATATATATGATCAAACAGCCAGATAAATAAACGATAAATCATACTCATGAATACAAATGTTTGTACTATGCTCGAGGAATCGAACCCGTAATCATCGGAAAGTAAGGCAATGTACTAAACGTACCACCAAGACCGATAAATAAATAATAATTACTCAGGGCAATGCTACAGGAGGAAGCAAAAAACTTATAACAATATAAACACGTACTAACAACTGACAGAAATATATACTTTTTGTGAATACATAATTTATTTATAGAAATGAAAAATCACACAACCATACTCATGAATAAAAAAATTGTATTGTACAAAGAATCGAACCCGCGTCAATGGAATTTGAGGTGATATACTAATCACTTAGTGTGGCTTTGCTCATTAGAGGTGTTTCAATTTTTCTTTTTTATTCAAACTTATGACCTACTATTTTATATTTATCTAATAACTATAACCGTGACCCTGTACCTATTTTTAGTATTTTAAAAAAATGTCCACAGTCACTATTACCACAGATAATATAATATTACATCTATTACTATTATCGTCAGTGGTGTCGACGACCACGTGGACCTTTATTATCACTCTTTCAATGGATTCAGAGGCGGAGTATGTAAGTATAAATACAAAAGTGAATATAACGTACGAAAAATATGTGGATATAATTTAAATAAAAATTGAGTTATTTTTACAAATTCAATTGTTTTTCAATAAGACATCATATAATTTAAAAAAAATTAGTAATTTTTTTTATCTAAATATATGCAACCAAGCATATATTTAGATAAAAAAAATCTGCCACATAAATTACATTATAATTTATAACAGAATAATAGAATAGAATAGAATAGAATAGAAAATCATTTATTCAAATAAACTTACACTGAAGCACTTTTGAATAGTCATTACATTTTTTTTAATCTACCGCTCGTTCGGAAAGCTGTCTCATCACAAGAAGAACGAGCAAGAAACTTGCGTGTTGCTCTTTTAAATAATTTTATTATTACTTTACATTTTTAAGTTTAAGTGTGTGAATACAAACCACAAATTAGCACTAATTCAATTAAATACTCATAATGTTTCTGTTCTCAGCTTAGATACCTTAGTTTAGAAAATCTTGAATTTAGTTTATCATTATTTAGTATATCACATACAATTGCAGTAACTTCAACAACGAGTGACGTTACAGTAAAGGAGTTGAGTTTTCAAGGTCCACATGTTTTTTTAAAGAAGTATTAGTATTGTTACAGGTATGCAGTTGTCTATATTGAATCTTAGATAGGTAGGTATTTAATACAGATTTAGAACTAGGTACATTAAATGTATTTAATTTTGAATTGGTTCTTTTAGTATCTATTGTAATCTACATGTACATAAACAGCAATTATTTTAAAAATCTATGTCATTACGCAATTAGCTAGTAACTACTTTGTCAAATCGTAGCCGTTTTTTACACACGTCTCTTGCTTTATTATCGTAAATCGTCATATTATACAGTCGGTTACGGAAATATACTTTCCATACATATTTCTAATTAGCTGTACCCAACATCTGAAGAAGCAGATGATGATGATGTACCCGCGTCGTTGTCCGCGTGGAATTTAACTTTTTTTTTTCTAAAATAAAAGTAGCCTAAGTTACCCCTTATTACATCAGCTACCTGCCAATAAAAGTTCCGTCAAAAAAGGTCCAGCCATTTCAGAGATTAAACCAGCCTGAACAAACAGACAGACAAAAATTGAAAAAAATTATATTTTGGTGTATGTACCGTATTCATATTGATATACAAGTAGTAAAAAATGGTTATTTCAGTATTACAAACAGACACTCCGTTTTTATTTACATATATATATATATATATATATATATAAATAAAGTATATATGTAAATAAAAGCCGGCCCTGTTTTGTACAATAATAGATAACTATACATATGATCTTTACTCACTTCTAATACAACTAACTGGATGCCTTCTCGTGAGTCGTAACAAGGAAACATGGAAGTTCACACGTGTTTCGCCATTTTGATATTAACTACAATTCTATTTAATGAAGTGCAATTGCTAAACATTTTAGGAGTATTCCCTTTTGAAGGAAAGAGTCACTCATTCGTATTTAATCCTTATATGCTCGAATTAGCGAAACGTGGACACAATGTGACAGTTATTTCTCATTTTCCTCAAAAAATGCCAGTTCAAAATTATCATGACATCAGTTTAGCAGGTAAAAGTAAAGTGTTAATGGATGTTTTTTCATTGCATCGATCTTATTGGAGTATAATTGGAATCAGTTTATTCTTGGTGAAATCTGGAACTGATAACTGCAAATTAGTAATGGCGGATGAAAATGTACAACTCTTATGGAAAAACCAAGCGAAGTTTGATCTTGTGGTAGTGGAGCAATTTAACAGTGACTGTTACTTAGGATTGGCTCACAAATTGAAAGCACCAGTTATTGGAATAACATCCCACAAAATTATGCCTTGGCATATGAGCAGATTCGGTATTGTATATAATCCTTCACACACAGCATTTTCATTTTTGGAAGGAGGAACCAAACCCACATTGTACCAAAGATTTGAAAGAGTTATTTTTCATAATTACTTTAACATTTTGTATAAATATTTCTGTCAGAAAATCGATGAAAAAACATTAGCACAATATTTTGATGATATACCGCCGTTGGAGGATTTAGCTCGAGATATTAAATTAATGTTAGTATATCAGAATTTCGCAATGATGGGTTCTCATATATTTCCATCAAATGTCATAGAAATTGGAGGACTTCACGTAGATAAACCGCAAGCGTTGCCTGAGGTAAGTGTCTAACATAGCTCAAGTCATGGCTTATTAAGGTGATAACTGAATGTAAATATTTGTAGCTTTATTTTTGTAATACTTTTATTGACATCCGTATCAGTAGTATTGTCGTACGATGAATATATTTAATTTATAATTTTAATTCCTAACTACCTACAATTTAAACAGTATCTAAAATTAAATCATAAGTACTTAATAATTTCTACGACCGTTTGAACCTGTATATATCAGTGCATTTTATATGTTGTAGTGGCCATTAAGTTACATACTATATGTTTGTTTGTAAATAAAATAATGATTCATAGTATTAAGAATTGAAGAATTTATTCAAATGAATAAAAAATTATTACAATGACATGTTAAACGTAAACAACTACATTAGTTTGTAAAAAACTGTGTTGCAGTTATTTGGGTCCATCTCCAGAGCAATATGTACAATTTAAATAAAAACAAATTAAGATATTATACATATTGGTAACTCTGTAAATCTGTTTTGTATTGTATTCTCTCATTTCAATCAGCAATACACTTTGCAAAACAAGAAACTGCGCGACAAGAATAGCTAAGTTAGTTCCCATGCAGAGAGGTCCTGCATGCAATTCCCCAATCAAATTTAAACGTTGTTCATGTATTTCCATAAGATAACAACAAATATCGAAAACGTTCGCTAATTTTATAATTACTTTCACAGGATTTAAGAAAGTTTATTAAGGAATCGGACCAAGGCGTAATTTATATCAGCTTTGGGTCTATGTTAAAAGCAACGACAATGCCAACAGATAAACTTAAGGCTATTATTGATGCTCTTTCCGAATTACCGCAAAGAGTTATATGGAAATGGGAAGATAAAACCCCTCTTGGCGGTGCAAAAAATATTTACTTGTCCAAATGGATGCCGCAAAATGACATACTGGGTTTGTACAACACTAATAAATTCTCCCAGTCTGATGAATAAAACTACAACATTTAAAATTCACTATTTTAATCCTTCTTTTATGTGAAGAAAGTATTTGATATCAAATACTTTCTTTACATAAAAGAAGGAAAAAAATTATGAGATTATTCCGAATTGTCACAAACAGCAATACAGACTTGCTTTGAACATCAGGAGGCGAAATTTCAATTTACGGAGTTATATAATTTATTTATGTACTGAATATTTTAAATGCAAGCGAGCATGCTTGGCTATGAACTTCTGTTGTTAGGGTTTTATTTCTAAGTTAAGCAATTCCAATTTGATAAACAATTTCCATTTCCTTAACTATAAATGAAATAAAAATAACACTATGATTTCAGCTCATCCTAATGTGATTGCTTTCTTTTCTCACTGTGGATTATTGAGTACTACAGAAGCTATACATCATGGTGTACCAATGGTAGCAATGCCAATATTCGGAGATCAACCAGCGAATGCTGCCGCTGTAGAGGAAAGTGGTCTTGGACAGCAAATTCAAATTAATGAGCTTACTAAAGATAAACTTTTGGCAAAATTGAGAATGGTATTGGATCCCAAGTAAGTACTTGTCGCCCTACTATATATGTATGTAAATTTCACCTTAGCGTCACCTTAGCATAGTACTATCCCATAAACAAGACGAAACCTTGCCTTAATATAGCATTTCGGTGTCTTTTCTAAAGATTTACTTTACAAAAAACTGGTAATAGACTAGTTAACAAAATCTCACTGAGACCGAAAAATTAATGCATTCTATTTTTCTGCTGGATACTTTTATATTTATTAAATGTTTAACATAAATCAACAATATATTATTATTATCATACTGAGGAATCATCCCTAAATTATGTTGCACCTATTCGGTATTTTTATTTAATTCTAAGCATCCTTCTTTAATTGTTCATGTAACTTTTAAACCATAAAATGTAGTGGAGATAGAATACCTGATGATACAGATTCTTCGGATACCTAGCGTGCTAGGTATCCGAAGAATCTGTATCATGCCCGTGGGCATCACTTCTCCATAAGTTCGTATTTGTCATTAACTTTACATGTTTGTGGAGAGAATAAATAAATTTTATATTCGATTATTAATTAGAATAATAATCAATAAATAATATTTTCACTTCTGTACAAAATCCTTAACATTCTCTTTTCTCTACTCGATTTCATGCAGCTGTAGAAGTAGGGATAAGAGATAATAATTAAATGTATCATTTAAAAAAATATGTTTTATCTAAGAATATTTTTTGGATTTTCAGTATTTCTTTCTGGAATTAGTCATATATTACTATATTTAAAAAAAGCAACAAGCAATGAATATTAATTATTTCCAGTAACAATATCTATATAATATAAACTTATCTTATTTTAGGTACTAAATATATTTAAGTTAAATATGTTTAATCTAAATTAAATTTGGGTAATGGAATAATTATATTAGTATGTATGTTCATGATGGTATTCAATTATTATAATCTCTTAAACGGCTTTGAGTGAAATTTTGGAACACAAATAGAAATACTGGTTAATATGTTCCAGTGAAATAAATTAGTAATTCGAATACATGTAGACCAAACCACAGACAAAATCTATTATAGCTATACATATATACAGAAATTATATTATTTTTAGATTGGTACTTGTAACACTAAAATCACATGATGCTAAAATCTACGGAATAACTGCTACCTTAGCAAGACTGTGTTCCTAAGACTGTGCGAGAGCAAGTGTGTGTGGTTTGAACGAAAATCTCGACGTAAAAGTACTAAAAAGTATTCGTAGTAGTGAAATTACAGGATACGATAACTTATTCTCTGAAGTGGCAACGTATGAGTAATATCATGTATTTACATATATAAGCGACGGGTTTCGCTTACCATCGGTCGTTACTTGTTTTCCATTCCAATTATATAAAAAAAGCATATCCGCGTCATCATTATTCGAAGCCTTATTAGACCAAATTTTGTTGGAAACCTTAAATTTCCAATCTAAATACATTAATACATAAATTATAAGCTGTTTAACCCATTTGACTTCCAATAGTCGCGGGTTTCATTCCTCGCGTGGTACAATAGATTGTCGTCGTTAGTATATATCGCTTATGTTAGTATAATATAAATATACAAAAAAAACTATTTGTATCAGTGGTCTGGTTATATTGAGATATCAATTGCAGTGGTTTATTAAAAATATATTTCTATAGATATTGAGAATATTATTATATATATCTAAATAATACGATTTTGAAAAATTCATGAAAAGTGTATATTCCTCTAGATCTTCTACTAGTTTGGTCATGCAAGCTCGTTTGTACCCTAGACTAAAAACACAATATAGTAATAATTAATATATTCACATTATTGTGTACTTTTACAGATTCAGAGAAAACGTAAAACATCTTTCTAAGATATGGCATGACCGACCTATGTCGGCTATGGACACTGCTATCTTCTGGACTGAATTCGCGGCACGCAATAGAAACCTGACTCTCAGAGCTGCTGCTGCCAATGTGCCTTATTATCAATACTGGTGTCTTGATGTACTAATTGTATTCATTGTGCTAATACTTGTTTTTGTTCTTTTTACCAAATATCTTGTATCCTTGTTTAAAAAAATTAACAAAAAAGAAAAGGAAATAAAAAAGGAATAAACCAGCCAGATATTAATAAATATGCTCACGTAATCTAAATTATCTTAAAAACAATATTTTTATTATGTCAATAATTACGCATGTTAGTAAGTAAATAATATAATCAAAATATATGATTTATTAAAACTTATATAGGAGTCTAAAAACGTGAAAAAACTAAGTGAATTTTTCCTTTTAAAAAATATTTTATAGAGCACTTTCACTGATCAATTTTGTATTGTTAAGTATATTTATGATACTTAAAGATCTGAATCAAAATACTGTGATGTATCTAAACATATTCGTCGTAATTTAATTACAAAATCTTTAATAAACAGTTATCCACATTCTCACTTTTGGATATCTACTCTTATTTATTAAATTTTGACATATAGCTAAATGTATTAGAGTTAACTATATGTAAAACTTTTCTGCTAGATAAAACAAGGTATCTACATGTAATTATTTTAATGTAGTGATAGCAGTCGGTTCATGCTAATAAAACGATAATTAATTCTGGGGGCATCTGTAGATGAATGTACATTAATATTAAACACAATAAATAAGCGTTACAAATATTTTTTTTCAATGTCATCATTGTGTAGTTCACTTAGATAATTATTAAGTATATAAATACAACTTCGTAATTAAACAAAACAGTCGTATATATTAATCTGGCAAAATGACAAGTATTGTGTATTTGATTTGTGTGTTAATAACTCTTATTAATTACAATGAAATTCAGGCGTTAAAGATATTAGGAGTGTTTCCACATTTAGGAAAAAGTCACTTCTTTGTGTTTCAACCATATCTACTTGAACTGGCGAACCGAGGCCACGAGGTGACAGTCATATCACATTTTCCACAAAAGTTACCAATTAATAATTACAAGGATATAAACTTGGCAGGCGAAATTAACGTATTTGAAGATTCTTTTCCGATTGAGAGATCGTACTGGACTATAATCCAAATTACTTTAATGGCTGTCCATTATGGAAGAACTGACTGTAAAACTATGCTGTCGAATGAAAATGTACAAAATTTATGGAAAACAAATACGAAATTTGATCTAGTAGTGACTGAGCAATTCAACAGTGATTGTTCGTTGGGATTGGCGTACAAGTTAAAAACTCCCGTAGTTGGAATAACGTCACACAAAATAATGCCTTGGCATATGAGTAGATTCGGTATTGGGTATAATCCATCATACATACCGTTCATGTTCTTAGAAGGAGGTACTAAGCCTACATTGTACCAGAGAGTTGAAAGAACAATTTTCTATTACTACTCAAAGATACTTTATAAATTCTTCAGCCAGAGAATGGATGAAAGCACGTTAGCGCAATATTTCGACGATATGCCACCGTTGGAAGAACTAGGGCGGGATGTTAAATTGTTGCTAGTGTACCAAAACTTCGCCATGATGAGTTCCGAAATGTTCCCAACGAATATCATTGAAATCGGAGGACTTCATGTTGCTAAACCTAAACCTTTACCAGAAGTAAGTATTATTAATAGATATTTCACTAAAGTCATTGTATAATATTGTATATAATCATCATTACATAGTATAAAACAAAGTCGCTGTCGCTGTCTTTCCCTGTGTATACTTAAATCTTTAAAACTACGCAACGGATTTTGATGCGGGATTTTTTTAATAAATAAAGTGATTCAAGAGGAAGGTTTATACATATAATACGTGTACAGCCGTGCGAAACCGGGGCGAGTCTATTTAGTTCTTCTTTGAAATAAATTTTATACGTTTTTATACAAACAATAAAATAAATAAGAAAATTTTAATAAGTTACCCTATACTTCTAATTTAATTATTTCAGGAATTGAGTAAGTTTATAGAAGAATCTGAAAATGGAGTAATTTACATTAGTTTCGGATCAATTTTAAGAGCTACGTCGGCGCCAATTGAAAAAATTCAAGCTATTATTGGCGCATTATCTCAGTTGCCACAAAGAGTAGTATGGAAATGGGAAGAAAACGTCTTGCCGGGTGCCAACCCAAAGAATATTTACTTTTCAAAGTGGCTCCCCCAAAACGATATTCTAGGTTCGTATGACAGTTCATAACAGTAAAAAACTGTCAATATTGAACTTTTCACACAAAATCATTCAGATTCAGCAAAAGCAATAGGGAAATATTTAGATTTTAATTTACCTGCAATATTAACTTGATTAAAATTCCTATTACTACTGCCCCACCTCGTGCGTAATGTGAATATTTTTTTTATTGGCAACGACTGATTGGGAAACATAATGACGGAAAAGTAAGTAATGATATTGATCATTCCTATCGTGATCTTGTTACACTATAATATTTTTCTTTACGAAATGTTTACCTTATATAATTGTAACACATGCTTCAAATTATATACAGATAGCTATCTCTGCAACAGTTGTTAAATCACACTCTTATCATTAGTTATTGACGGAGTACGATACCCAATAAATAAAGACAAGTATCACATTGATTGATTTGGAGTAAAAATATCTCTGATACTTGGCGAAATGTACATATGTTGGTTCAGTTGGTATATGTCTCCGACTATACCATTGGGGATTACTGACATAAATGCAAATTTATTATATTACTTAATTAATTTGAAAGTTTAAAAAACTTATGTACCTAAGTTTTTGCTCATGTAACAGAGTACTGTAATGTCTATGGTGCTATTTCTTAATTTATAAACATTGGTTATTGGTTACAAAACAATTTATAAACTATGTTAGTAAATTATAATATATGTCCTTGTTACTTCAATTGATAATGCACTGGGTCCGCAGTATTGCAATGGTGCCCAGTGCCTCTGGAGTGGATAATCCGACATATTTGCTATAATGTTTAGGAGGCTGTTTGCACTCATCCGAATTCTACAAATCAGTGATGCTGTTCATTTCCGCATTATGACTTGAAAGCCATAAATTACATTGAGGCTTACAGACGATCCTGAAAACTTACTTACTATAAACGCCGGTAAATTACCGGTGTTTATAGTTATAGTTAGTTCGTCGTTTTATAGAATATGACACGTGGTATAAATTAATTTACTAATCTGTAATGTGATTTGTATGGCAGCTCACCCGAATGTACTAGCATTTTATTCGCACTGTGGTTTACTGGGTACTACAGAGGCCATACATCATGGTGTACCCATGGTTGGAATGCCAATTCTAGGAGACCAACCCATAAACGCTGCAGCCATTGAAGAAAGCGGACTTGGAGTACAAATACAATTCAAAGATTTAACTGAAGAAACGCTATTGGAAAAATTCAAGACAGTAGTAAATCCTAAGTAAGCTTATAATTTTAATCAGTGTGTGTGTGTCTATGTGCAATGGTAGGATACGTAAGAAGCGATCAAATGTATCAAAACGTAGTCACTCATAATATAAATGACTGCTTGGTATTATTTTAAATATAGGGCAAACTAAATTAATAAATAAATAAGTAAAATTATACAAATATAACAATAAATAATTAAACAAATTTATAGAGAATATCCCGAGGATAGGTTAATTTTTGATTAACAATAAAATCATTAAAACAATTTATAATATTATCTACACAGAAAACAAATATCTTGACTCAAATTTTGACAACTAACTGTCTATTATATGGTTATCTAACATCGTGGAACGTAAATACGTTTTAATTTTTACGTTACGTACATAAGATAAAATTATCTCTTCTCTATTCTATCTCTCTTACTGTAGTTATGTCGTAGTTAAGGTAATAAATAAAATAAATTACTACTATTTCGAAATTTGAATTTTAATAACAATCTTACGTAAGTACTGTAAATAAATGCTTACTGATATTCAAAACGTATTAAAAAGATTAGGGTCTCATTTAAGGTTCTCATTCTCATTATCCTATTGTTTCAGATTTAGAGAAAACGTAAAAAAACTATCGAAGGTGTGGCATGACCGCCCTATATCTCCAATGGAAACAGCTATCTTCTGGACAGAATTTGCAGCGCGTAATAGCAACTTTACATTTAGGAATTCAGCTGCAAATGTGCCTTTATATCAATACTTATGTCTCGACATAGTATGCATAGTCATTAGCGTCATTAGTATATTAATATATATTATTAAATCTTTATTTTCTATCTTCATAATACGTAAACAGCAAAATAGTAAATTTAAGAAAGAATAAGATTTTATGTACTAGTCTTTTTATCCATTCGAATCGCTTGTTTGGTTTGTAATGAATAATAGGAATATATAGATTAGATTGTCTACTTTTATTGTCGTAATTTAATTTTACTATTATTATTAAATATTATATAATTTGTTGATACCTACTTATATTTAAACATTGTTGTAAGCAATTAAAATAGATAAAATACCTACATGGTATAATTATTATTTAGGTACATAACTAAATTTTGAATCGATATATCACTGTTAGCTCAGAAACATGTTATGTGGAAACATTATACATAAATATATAAAATTTATTGTCAACATATAAATGTCTTTATTAAAATATACAAATTTGACTTCATATCATTTTTTCTATTGTTTTTTTTTATTTTAAATATACAAAATTAAACAGCTAATTGGTTACATACATTACATAATCTACTCTTTTTTCATTTTCCAGTGGAATAGCTGTTTATTATATATTTCATGTTCTCACATACAACCCCGCAATTTATACTATTTGTATACTAGATTTTAATATTACTTAATTTTGGTCTATAACTTGCATAACTTAATATGCATAACTGTAATAAAATAACCAAATACATTTACTACTAGATAAAACAAAGTACCTATTCGTAATTATTTCAATTTACTGATAACAGTTGGATTCACGTAAAAAGTATTAAAATGATTAATGCTTGATAATAAAACTCAGATCGATATCTAATATAGCTTCTACAAACGAATTGATATTATTACAAATATACTGTTTTTTTAAGGAAAGCAAATACTATTTTCAATGTCATCATAATATATCTACTATAGTATCTTAGTACCTATTACTTAGAGTAGGTAATATAATATAGTTTACTTAGATCTACAAGTGCAAAAAACAAAGTTCCCATGTTTCCTACTTTACGTCTACCTATTTCTCCGTTTATTTCTTCTAATTCACACAACAGATTTAGAATTTATTTTTTCCGGGAAGCATATAAATACAAATAAAAATATAGAAGAAGTCGAAATTCGTAAAAATTCGCATTCGTCATTTGTCAATGTGTTGAATACCTCACTAGTGAAGTCCACATTTTGCTCGGTATGTTTAAATACAAAGTGGCAGCTAGCTAGCGTACCGCTATTTATTGGATATTTTTTTTTTTTAACGGTAGGTATTAACTTCAGCAGAGAGTCAAACAAAGATATAAATTGACAAGTTTTTTGTTCCGGTCTATTAGTATAACTTGAAATAATAAATATATAACTAGGTTACATTGCTCGAAAAAAACTTCCGGACGATGTATGTAATATAACATGCAGGGGGGAAGGGAATTGTTAGTAAAGTGGACTAACGATCCCATTGCTAGCAATGTACCATGTCAGATCGACCTCCACGCGGTTCCCCCCGGAAACCATAGTGATACATTCCCGGTGAATTTGTCACGTTGGGCTAACTGATCTGACTTCATGTTCATCCTATCATCCTCCACTGGTGCCCCGCCAGCGTAAACCGTTAGCGCAGGCGGGTGCACCATTCCATTATCATCCTTTAAAAAAATATAACATGCATACATCTATTTATATGATTTCTATCACGTACAACGGTGCCAAACAAGGGCGGGACCACTAGTAATTAATAAGTATCTATATCTATAGTCGTATCTATATACGACTTCATAACTAAATAAAACAGTTGTATATTTTTATCAGGCAAAATGACAAGTACTGTGTGGTTAATTATTGTGTTAATATCTTTTTTTAATTATAACGAAACTCGTGCGTTAAGGATATTAGGAGTGTTTCCACATTTAGGAAAAAGTCACTTTTTTGTGTTTGAACCTTACCTGCTTGAACTGGTCAAGCGAGGACATGAAGTGACGGTCATATCACATTTCCCACAAAAGATACCTGTTAATAATTACTATGATATAAAATTGGAAGACGAAACTGAAGTATTTGAAGAGTCTCTTCCACTTCAAAAATCGTACTGGGCAATAAAGGAAGTTGCTTTTATATTTTCGGATTTGGGTAGAAGAAACTGCAAAACTTTACTGTCAAACGAAAATGTACAAAATTTATGGAAAACTCAGACGAAATTTGATCTTGTAGTGACTGAACAATTCAACAGTGATTGTTCTTTGGGATTGGCGTACAAGTTAAAAGCTCCCGTAGTTGGAATAGCAGCACACAAAATAATGCCTTGGCATATGAGTAGATTTGGTATTGGGTACAATCCATCACACATACCGCTAACGTTCTTAGAAGGAGGTACCAGGCCTACATTGTACCAAAGAGTTGAAAGAGCAATTTTCTATTATTTTTCAAATATACATTATAAATTAATCTGCCAGAGAATCGATGAAAACACGTTAGCGCAATATTTCGACGATGTGCCCCCGTTGGAAGAACTAGGACGGGATATTAAATTGTTACTAGTATACCAAAATTTCGCCATGATGGGTTCTGAAATATTCCCATCAAATGTCATAGAAGTTGGTGGATTTCATGTTGCTAAGCCTAAACCTTTGCCAGAAGTAAGTACTACTTAATTCACTTTTACGTACTGCGAATAGGATATTGCAATATATGTATACGTATACTTTAGAGCATTTCTTCAGCATCATTTAAAGTTATTGAAGATTTATCCCATGCAATCAAAGCTTATGCAATATTAGTGTCTATACTTTCATGTATATATACATATATACATACTCGATACCTAGATAATATAGAATAGCTAAATAATTAAAGTGACTGGTAAATAGTATTTTCTACTAAGTATGGAAACTGGACTATGTTACTGAAATTGATTAAATAAAGAAAAACTGAGTTTGAGTATATTTTTAGTACATATAATTACGCAGCCAAAGGTTAAACATAAATTTACATTCAAACATGCCTTTTAGTTGTCATTTTCTATTTTCTCTTCAATACAAGTCTTGTGAGAAATTAATGTAATTATTTAAAATTTAATTTTTTATGTTATTACATATTTTTAACTATTTTTTTCAAATCATTCGACTACGATTTGCCTTTATTAAATCTTCTATTTGGGTCTCACTCTGTTCTAATAACTTTTAAACTCCTACTTCCTTTTGTAAAATCGTCATAATTAGTAAAAATAAAATGTTCATATACCTACTTATAAAAATGTCTCATCTCAGCACTTTACTACTTAATTCATATTCTAAAAATTTTTAATATTCACTGGTTACCGGTTTCAGGATATAAGAAAGTTTATAGAGGATTCTGAAAATGGCGTTATTTACATTAGTTTTGGATCACTTTTAAGAGCTACTTCGACACCAAATGAAAAAATTGAAGCTATTATTGGAGCATTATCTCAGTTGCCACAAAGAGTCATATGGAAATGGGAAGAAAATGACTTACCGGACGCTAATTCAAAAAATATTTTCTTTTCAAAATGGCTACCACAAAACGATATACTGGGTTTGTATCACAATATTTGATAGTAAAAAACTGTATAAACTCGACTTAGTACAGAAAAATGACATGAATTTTTTAATTTTGTTGCAAGTGAACTTGAATTTATTATTACTACAGATATATATAATGTTAACGTGATTAAATTTAAATTCTTGCTAAGATCATATAAATGGTAAATCATTATAGTAATCATTTCTCTGATGTCTCTTTAAAGGATTGTTTACCCTGTTATTTTACCACACCCATAATTTAGTAATGGGTTGAATAAAATCAAATCATGTATTTGATTTTATTCAGTATCATAATTTATATTTAGAACGATCCCAAATATCATAAATTTGATTCTGGCTAGCTCTGGTTGTCCCATTTGGACTTGCAGTTGTATTCAGTAAATTTGATTAGAACGTATGAGAAATCGCAGGACGTTACGTTTGTGTCAATTTTTCATAGACGTAACAACAATGCTGTATATGTTTAAAAAAGATTTTTACAACTTACCGCAATCTACTATGGCAATTTCTTTGCCATTACATGTATAATATGTGAGTTATATGAAATATTAATATTTTGTAAATTTTTTTATGGTAGGTCACTCTAACGTACTAGCATTTTATTCCCATTGTGGTTTACTGGGAACTACTGAGGCCATACATCACGGTGTACCTATGGTCGGAATGCCAATTTTCGGAGACCAGCCTGTAAACGCAGCAGCCATTGAAGAAAGCGGACTTGGAGTACAGATAGAATTCAATGAATTAACTGCAGAAACCCTATTAGAAAAATTCAGGATAGTGCTCGACCCTAAGTAAGTGTATAATTTCAGGTGGTAGGTACATTGTAAATGAAGGGTAGTAGTAAGAAGAAATGAACTTTACCAATAACCATAGAGCTAGCCTATTGTTAAATATACATACAAGCTATTTTGGCATGCGGCAGAGCGGCAAGCGGGCTCGGTTAGATCTAGGTTAGCATCATTGCTTTACTTCCGATAGTAGCAGATTTGATTTCTCCCAGGAAGCAAACCTTTTTATTCATGTGTATGATTGTTACTTATTAGCGTGCTTTCGATGTATAAACCTACTATTGTAGACAAAAATAGCTTTTCTTGAGACTCGATGACTTTGTTGTGAATGGCACAAGCTTATTATTCGCAAATCTTTAAGAATTATTTTATGCCATGACTATTTTTGTTTTCTCATATTTAGATGTGTGTTTAAGATGTGTTATAAGAAACCTACTATTACGAATCGAAACTATAGTTATTATGGCACCAAACTGAAAATAAAATAATAATTTAATCAAATCAAAATCATTTTGGTTGTGTATATTAATTTTGAACCATGCTTCATTGATTGAAATTAAATTTAAAATTTAATTTCTCGAACCATTACTTCTTACTAGATTAACAGCAGATCAGATTTCTTAAATTTAATAAAGGTTTTATTTTCATTACGGATAAATCAGTGGCCGTTATTAGAATTGTATCAGTTGTTGGTCATTTATAAGTTTATATTTTAATTTAAAGCATTTGTGTATTTGTTTTAGATTCAGAGAAAACGTAAAAGAACTATCCAAGGTGTGGCACGACCGCCCCTTGTCTCCAATGGACACAGCAATCTTCTGGACAGAATATGCAGCGCGCAATGGAAACTTCACTTTTAGGGCAGCTTCAGCAAATGTACCTTTTTATCAATACTTATGTCTTGACATAATAGGCGTAGTCATCGGCATCCTTATTGTATCAATATATTTTGTGAAATTAAATTTTTGTCTTCCATTTTCGTAAGACATACAGCAAAATAGTTTTAAGAATTAGTAGAAATTTTTAATGGGATTAATTGAGGAAATGTTACATATTAATTTTATATTGAGCAAATGATTTTCCATAGGAAATGCTTCTTTGGTGTGTAAGGAATTATTTAATAATATGGATAAGATTGCAAATAAAATAATTAAGTCAATTTTACTGTTTAATTTTACAGTTATCGCTGAGTATGTCTGTATAATTTGTATCCAAACTGATATACCGCAAACCTACTGTTGTATTTCGGATTAATTATGTTTGTTACTGATGATAGTATCCCCCATCAGTCTTGCCTGTTAATTGCCACGAAAAGTTTTATTTGACAGATTTAAAGTTAAAGTCATTCGAGATTTATAAGTTGATATTATGTTGTCATAAATGTTCAATGAGCTAATAAAATTTAGTATCATCATTCATTAAGTCATCACACTTTTTATTAAAACTTTAAATATAACTAATTATGTTGAGCAAAAGAATATGTACTTATGAGCAAGATTTAACATACCTAACTAAAAAAATATAATGGCAATATCGAAAATCTATTTATATTTTCGAATAATAACATTCCTATTTTAATTAGACATAAAGAAATAAATGTCTTCCATATTCCATTACTCCAAAAAATCGCTTCAACTTTTTGGTCATTAAGGTAACATGCAACGTTGGTTAATAAATAAATTATACAATGTACAAAATGTGATACAGATGTAACATTTGAGCTACAACCAGATAAGATAATACTATAGTCTGATACTTGCATCGTCATACGGCTGTATTATCATTATAAAGTTCTACTCAATGTTATATAGCACTTTCGACCTTTATACGAAATATAGATAAATATTGTACTCTTTACTGGAACTTACCTATGAATAAATAAGATTTTAGTACTGGCACTGCACCATGTAGTCTATAAGTACTACTAACTATTATATATGGATACAACTGATAGTCTTACTTTAATACATTTTTTATAAATATGTGGTATATTATAAATAACATACATTGATAATAAAATATAACACTCAAATAATACTTCGGAATATGTATGTATATATCTAATAAGTATGTATCGTGTGGGGATCATACTAAAGGTAGGTAATTGAAAGGGAATGCTATTTGTCACTAGATCACCGAGATCGTCAACCATCTAGGTACGACATTAGTAATAATGTGTTTATTTAGTTAAAAGTTATAAAATTCGATAATTTATATAAAAAGAACAAGTGCATCAGTCGGATGGAACCTAAAACTGGTATCTACGTAACTTAAGTGCAATTTTTATTTACTCTCGATTCTGTGCTTTAGTTGACCTTCATATTACAATATAGTTATACATGCTTATCTTTACAATTACAAGTTATTACACAACTAAAGTAAAGGTTTAATTGACTCTACCGTTTGCGCTTGATCGAGTGATTTTGTTTGTCAAAATACACAGCTTTTAGTGTTTCACGTTCAGTTTTTTTGTTAAGTTTGACAATGTTTTTATATTATATTACCATCACTGAGAGTATAACTCTATCAAAACGCGGAAAAAAAGTTTTCGTCGTCTTCATCATTACAAAAATTATATACATTCGGTATTCGTTTCTCCATTACAATACCAAACAAAGAGACATTTCGTAATCGCTTCTCAATTTCTTATCCAATTTAAATGAACGTGTAATCTATCAGTAAACTCATATTCACCGGCATTTTGTTACGACTAGAGGGATATAAAGCTATAGGCACAAATAGGCAGTTACAAACGTGATCTATTAGAGCGTGGACGGCTCATTATCGCGCTGTGAACACGAATCACGGCCTTGGCAACAATGAAGGTTATTTTTATAGCCTTAGCGTTCCTACTAATTGTTCAAATATTTACAACTAGTGCATACAATATTTTGGCTATATTTCCATATCAAGGAAAAAGTCATTTTATAGTTTTCAAAACTTATTTACAAGAATTAGCAAGAAGAGGTCACAATGTAACTGTTATTTCATACTTTCCGGAAACGCAGCCTCTCAGTAATTATCATGACATAAACCTGGATCAGAATATCGAAGCGATTGAAAATAGCATGCCAGTTGTAGATAGATCATATCTTTATTTATTCGGGATAAGTTACTTCCTCACAAATATGGGTGTATTGAACTGTGAAACAATGTTAGCGAACGAACAAGTGCAGAGATTGATTAAAGAAAAAGCGAAGTTTGATGTGGCTGTGTTAGAACAATTTAATAGTGATTGCGGACTGGGAATAGCGTATAAGTTAAACGTTCCAGTTGTAGGAGTAACCAGTCATGTATTAATGCCTTGGCACTACCAAAGATTCGGAATTCCATTCAATCCGTCCTACGTTCCATTTCACTTCACGGAAGGGGGAACGAGGACTTCTTTGCTTCAGCGAGTAGAAGTTGCATTTTTCGACCTTTGGTTCAGACTAATATACAAATTCTATGCACAAAGAAATAATCAAATTGCACTTTCTAAGTATTTTGATGACATCCCACCCTTAGAAGACTTGGCACGTGAGATTAAATATCTACTCCTAGGACATCATTTTGTCCTTACTGGGTCAAGATTATTCCCATCGAACGTAATTGAAGTAGGTGGTTATCATGTACCTAAGGCGAAACCATTGCCTCAAGTAAGTTTATTAGTGAATAATAATCAATTAAATAACAGTCATCTCATTATTATATATTAATAATAATCGTTTAACGTTTTAAGTAACACTAGAGTTAGTTTTTTACGACTGGATCAACAAACATTATGACACATTAAGGAAACGTTTAGACCTAACTCTAAATATATCCAAGTAAGTGGTAGGTTCTCACTTCAAATGTAATGAATAAAAATATTCCTTGTGAATTATTAGGGCCATTATTCTAAATGGTACCAAAACATCGCTAAACCAGAATTTTATAAGTAAATAGATAACCCAATTGTATTCACATACCTTAATCATTTGAATATAAATTTGTAATTCAATGTAAATTTCACTGATATTATTATTATAAAACTAGAAGCTGATTAACAATCATTCACATTTTTTTTCAGTCGTATTTGATCTCGTGAATTAGTCGGCTCTAATTATCTTTTATGTAATAATATTTCTTATAAATATAAGAACATTATCTAATTTGCAGCAACCATTTTAGTTGCATACAGCAAAGCAAGAATATGACGTTCAGCAAATTATTGTATCAACTTATACTTATTACTTTTTATAATAAATCGCATTTAGGTAGCAATTAATATGCCTAGGCGGATATAATAATGAGAAATCATATTAGTGATTAATTATATAGATAATTAAATAGGTTATTTATTTATCTATTCATTACTTAATGGAAATCAGCGTTAATTTTTATCTTTAATGCAATTACAGGACTTGAAAAGATTTGTAGAAGAAGCTGAGCATGGTGTCATTTATATTAATTTTGGCTCCGTGGTAAAAAGTTCGTCAATGACTGAAGAACAAATCAAAGTTATTACAAGCGCTATGGCTGAGCTGCCCCAAAGATTTATTTGGAAATGGGAAAGTAATGCTGTATTAGCGCATAAAAACAAACTTTATGTATCGAAATGGTTACCCCAAGTAGATATTTTAGGTAAGTAAAACTATTTTAAATGGACGAAACGCCGGTAGAGCCGTGGTATTTAAGTAAATAAATATAGACTTTCTTATCTTTTGCGATAACCATTACAAATAAAATTTTAGTTGTATACTAACTGAAGATAAACATTTTTTTGTGTCTGTTACTTATTACGAATAAGTATATATTAATAGGATTATACGTGGGGGCAAAAACTAATGCAACCGATTGACCGTGGTTTTTCAATAATCTTCGAAGTATCAAATGATTTTCTCAGGATATTGATACGTTGCGACAGTTATTTCAGTCACTAAATAAAAACTCGCTGACTTAAAAAGGTTCCGATAATAAAATAAAACGAAGTAATTTACATATTTTTTATCGTATAACAAATACATATTAATGAAATCAATTTGGAAGTCCAACTATTATGTGTTGGACCTAAGTTTAAGATACGTAGCAAAAGATGACGATGACTATCACGGGCTCACGGAAGTCCACTTTGTTCATTGTGGGCCCTAATTAGACCCACTTTTTCAGATTATTATAGATATCTGCTCGATAAAGAAAAAATCAGCAGCAAACTCGCGCACAACAAGTTTAACACTGCATTAAAAATAAATCATCGGCAACAAATGGTTTAAAAGGGTAGGTAGAGCATGAGGCTTTAGGCTTTCCTCACCTACGCTGTCCTTTATGAATTACGAATTTATATTCCATTGTTAGTAATAAAAAAAGTCCAAAAGTCTAGTCTAAAATTACTTTAGAACTATTCTTGACATATGGTAAAAGAATATTCTCATTCAGTGCTCAAATGAACAATGAGTGATATTGCACAAAGAGAAGCCTATATCTTATATGTAGAGTCTTCACTAATATGACAAAGGATGGGCGAAATAACAGTAATTTCTTTTCTGGTGTGCTTCATGTTTTACGTTTCTAACTACAAATATAATCTTGTAGCATATAGCTCTGACAAAACATTTACATCCCCATCCCGGCCATTTCGTATAAGGTCAGATGCAGAACATTTTCTCATCGCCTCCGTTGTAGTTATTCTATTAGAGAATTCTTCTTTGTAATAAAGACGGACATTGCGTCACCAAATTCAATAGTATTGACTATACCAGTTTCAGTTAGTGCTATTTTAGTTCCTGATGCCATCGGCGTACAGTAAAAATATAAAATTTCCTTTAATAGGTATAATAAAATCACAATGTATTGCTTACTCCAAACTAAACCTACCATTTATTCAGTTCAAATTTTATTAAATAGCTATTTAGACGCAAAAACTATATTATTCTGAGAAATTTACCTATGCTATTGTAATATAAAATACGGTACGGTACGGTATTGAATTATTCCAAAAATCTGTTAATTCTGCCCCTGCCCATATTCTTTCAATTTAGAAAAAACGTGTGAGAAATAAGTAGATGGGCATTGAAGTAATATTCTTATGCTAATTGAACACAAAAACTGTATACAATTATGTAGCTATACTAAAACAATAGTTATGTAGATTACTTATATATTAAACTTTTAAATAGATTAAAAATAGTAGAACAATTTATAACATGAAAATTGACAAAATATTTTCTAATTTAATTAACAGCACATCCGAAAACTCTTGCCTTTTATTCGCATGCTGGAATGGGAGGAACAACAGAGGCTCTTCATTACGGAGTACCGATGGTGGCTATGCCAATACTTGGTGACCAACCATCCAACGGTGCGTCAATAGAGGAAAGTGGTCTAGGAGTTCAACTGCATGTTAGAGATCTCACTAAAGAAAATTTGCTGGCAGCCTTCAGAAGAGTATTAGATCCTAAGTAAGTATTTCACTATTTTCTTCCAACCAACCCAACTGAAATCTGCCAAATTCTCAAATGAGGACATTATTGTATGTATATAATAACTTTGCCAATATTAATAAACAATATACTTTTGCAGTAATTAATATGTTCACTTGCGTGTGTCGCCTGTCGCGATATATAAGAGTATTTTGAAACATTAAGTACATAAAGACAGTGTAAAGGCAAAAATATGAATGTATTGTGATAAAGAATCATCAGAAGACACTATACTATGAATTTCCATAATTTCCATATGATGGTTATTAAACATTACAAATTTGATTACAAAATTGATAAATAATTAATGTAAGACATTTTCTAAAATCAAAATCTTTATCAAATATTTATTTTCGTTGGTATTTACAAAATATGTTTTTATTAAATTGGCTTTTGTCAATTAGTCCTATAATTTTAATTTCTTTATTCATATACCTACCTACGTATGTTCTAAAAATCACAAATAATTGAAAGCTATTATTTATCTTTTGAATATTATTAAGTAACAAACATTTGTTGCAGATTTCATAAAAATGTTAAAGATTTATCGAGAGCCTGGCACGACAGGCCCATGTCTCCCTTAGACACAGCTGTCTACTGGACTGAATACGCCGCCCGTAACTCCAAGTTCACCTTCAGGACTGCTGCCGCTGATGTTCCTCTATATCAATACCTCAATTTAGATATCGCATTCGTATTTTTAATAGTTTTTGCAGTATTAATAGTTAAGGTTACATTAATAAGATCAATTTGCTGTAGCAAGAAGAAGAGTGTTGTTGAAAAGAAAAAAGCTAAGCGAAATTAAAAAGATAGAGTACTTCGGAACCGTTTTAATTTTTAAATTAATATCTAGAGAACCTTCACTCATCTTGTTTTTTTTAATACTAAATTTGTTAACGTTTTACCTTATACCTCCATACTTTCTTTCCTTAACACGCGTGGAATTTAAACACCAGCCGCACTAATCTATACGAAGTGCAAATGCTAAGTAAATGAAAAAAAATCTTTACCGGTGTATGAATTAGGTACTCTTTCAATAATCATTCCAATGAGACACGAGTTCAAACACCACGGAAACATGAATCCATTATTTAGTAATAGTTTATATATATAGGTATAAATGTGACATACCAAAACATCCCTTGATAAAAATGGAATTATGAATAAAGACAACAAAGGAATTACGAAAAAAAATACATGAATTAAGTAGGTAGATACTATAAGGTAGTTATTTTTTGGTAAGAGTACAATTTCACTATCTAAATTGTAGACCAAGGAATACTACATTAAGCAGCTGCAAAAGTATAGTAGTTATTGAAAAGATAACCAAGTAAAGCGTGACAGATAAAAAAATAAAAGATATAATTTTACAGTAAGAACACTGGGCACATTTATCTGTAAATTTATTGCAATATTATCTAACCTCCATAAAATAGGCATTTAAATACAGGCGTACAAAAACGAAGATTAATTATGTTCTTTTAATGAAAATTGAGGATGTCATATGTCTTGATGAAAGATCACTTTCACAGTTGTCATGTAACCTAACAGAGTGAATTCCGTTTTATGTCTACCAATATCTAGACTGTACACCTAATGGCTACATTAACTAACCATACTAAATACTATTTAATGGGGTAATATGACAAGGGTGAAAATGTAGTTGCTTCCATAGTTTTCTCACAGAGGTATGTAAAATTATAAGAGAATGAATTGTAAGTGTAGTTAAATATAGCACTGCTAAATAGATGGATATTTTTGAGTTCATTATATGTTCCAATTAATTGATGTAGATTTACTGTAATTTACGAACGCTTTTGAGACAAAAACATGTCTTAAAGCCAATTACGATTTATAGAGATTTCCTCATAGTAGAATAAGAATCAAAACTATTATAAATTGCCAATAATGATTTAGGGTATTGCCTATATAACTGTAATTGTAAGCCTACGGTTAGTGATAACCGTCGCCTATATATGTACATGAACTCAAATGTTGCCATTCCGGAGGGATGTTCTCTGTCAGGACATGATGATTTCAACCGATAACCGAAACACATAGAAATCAGAGAAGAGTGAGACAGTTAGGTACCCATGCAGACGATGTCACAAACATTAAAACACAACTGTTGACGATAGAAATTTAGAGATCTAATTTTATTCTACATGTACCTACTTTAAGGTTTCCCTGGTCCAAAATGGCATGCTGCTGTAAATGTGGACGACGTAAGTAGTATAAATTCATTGTACCTAGTAAATTAAAATTTACTTAGTAAAATATGTCAATTGGAATTCATATTCTTTATATTATTACTTAAAATTAAATACTAGTAAACAATAGGGTCAAGCCTAATAAAAGGCCTCTACAGCAGTTTTGTAACTGAAAACTTAAGAACTTTGAACCGAAACTTGGGATTTGGCAATTATTTTGTATTCAGTTAGTAGTCTTCACTTATTTGACTGTTGAAACAATGATAAATGTGTTAGAGCTGAATCCATTCATTGTTGCTAAATCGCAGGTCTATATAATAGTTTAGGCTTTCTTTCATATCCCCCTACTCACCTCACACAGTGGACAGTAATGGTGAATAAAGGCGTACTCTGTAGACATATCACTGAGAAAGGACTGAAACAGTCCTGTAAAAATTAAACAAAATAAACTGGATAATCCACAATTTAAACACGTAGTATATAGAGGACATTGTATGAACACGGGTGTTTGTACGATACGATATGAAGTACGATATGGATGAAATAATTAAAAGATATTATCCCGTGTATTTCTACAGTAAACAAATCATCTGCAAGCTGCTTGGGGCGCTGTGATCTACCTAAACACAGATGTCTTCTAAAAAATGACGTAAAGCCCGGACCTATCCCAAAAAACATGGGATGGTTATACACGGCCAAAGATTCTCCTGAACACCAGGTACCCCCAGTTAAAGTAAAAATATAAAGATTAGAAACAAATTAGATGAATGTTGATGAAGCTTTATTAGAAAGTTTTAAATGTTTTAGTTTGCGTCTAGCAAACTTCCTCGTACAAAGAAGTCTAAAATCGGTTAATTCAACTTAATTTACATTACTTGATGACAACGAATATAAGAAAGGATGAGGTTGGTGCGACGATAGTCATTGTTATGCTATAGTTACAAAAGAATGCCAATAAGATTTGGCTGCAATGAATAAAATTTTAAGGGGATGATGTCCTCATACCTTTTATTATAAGACTAAGAATCTAGTACACCTATTTGGCATCCCCGATTATTACACTACTGCTAACGCTGCTAAAGCATTATAGATCCGTGCCGTATCAGGGTGATTTCATAGGAACCGTGACGATGTCAATCTGACATGGTTTATTCCTAGCAATGGGACAGTTAGTTCACATTATTACCAATATCATTCCCCTAGTTACTATACTACACGCTTTATAAATCATTTACCTTCTAGTTACGATGCGGATGGCGCCCAGGTCATATTTCTTGTTCAGTGTTAAGAAAAATCGAACAACACAACTGTATGAAAGCTGGTCAATCTACCCCATGCCCATGCTCTACCTGCTCACGCCCACCGTGCCTTAAGCCCTGCTGTTCGTCTTCAAAATGCTTAGCAGTTTTTCCATCGCCTCCTTCTTGTAGCAAACCTCCGGTCTGTAGTCAACCGCTTATAAGAATTATCCGACACGGCGGGCAATATAGTATATGTACAAAACCATCCAATATGAACAACGCGCCTTCTGGACCCTATCCACTAAAATATGTTTTAAATTCAGATGACAACGATGACCCAGGACCAAATGCAAAATACAGTGTGGAAGCTAAATTTAACAATTATCACTTTGATTACACAAGTTCCCAAGCATCTTTCGTTTTAGATTTTTCACCACCAGAATAGAGGTGTTTTAAGCCTTGTCCAAAGAAAAGCATTATGTGTATGCTGTGTCAAACTGAATGTTCTTGGCCTATAAAGTGAATTCTACCAAAAATATTATATACCTCTCATCATTATATGAAAAATATTTTGAATCAAGAACATACATGTATACCTATACCCATATACATATAATTGTAAAAGCAATTAAATAAATCGTTTGAAAATGTTATTATTCCTTTTTCATTTTTAGCAGTTTTATACTGTCTTGTTTGTATTAAGATAAAATTTATAATTGTAAGAAAAGATACCTGAACAGAAAATGCAAAATCAACTCAAACAATAATTTATTGCCGAACTTTGGCTAAAACAACTAATAATATAAATAACCTATTTCAACATACATAAACTCAGCTGGGATTAGACGACTTTTGTGCCAATGCTAACATATTTTCATTGGCTAACATTTGGAATTCGTGGAACCTCTGTGATACACGCTGGTTTGTTCTTAAATATTTCTCCATACAGTTCACAGTGCATTTATCCTGGAAAATAATTTTTTTATTTTATAATGAAAGAAGACAATACGACATGTTATGATGTTTATTGGATATAATTACAATTATGGGCTTAACTTTTTAGATCCAATGCATTGATATTATCTATATAATAATAATATCTCTAGACAATTCACATAGTGCCTTCTAGTTCTAAGCTAAACAGAACCTTCTTTTATGGGTACAAGACACTGATAGACATACTTAGATAAGCTAAATTAGATTAACTAACACTAAATACAGTACATCGGTGTCTACACTACACTGAACTTGTTACCTTAGACCAGATAATTATTGTAAAAGCAAAATTACAAGTTCCAGCACAATAGGGTAGAAGGAAAAATTGTTAGTAATGAGAATAAGGAGCACTTGCTAGCACTGTACCCTATTAAGTCCTCATTCACAAAGATCCCCCTGGAGAACATTGTGGTTAATTAATGGTAAATATATCACAATAGTCTAACAAACCTCACTTCACTGGTGCCAGTGTAAATCACTAACTCAGGTCGGTGCATTTATTTGTATATACATTTTTCACATGTCTTATAATAAGCTGTTATTTGATACAGCTCATAAATTAATTTATTAATTGCATATCTTTATACACATTTCTTAGCCAATAGGCATTACAACTACACACATATTACAACATGTAAATGTATCCATAGTCCCTACTACTCATGAATTGCCATTCCGGAATCTATTAAGCCCCAATGTAATTAACTAACTAACCCAAAAGCCAACCTGTAATTTTCTTGCCATATTACAAATACCTTACAATGCAAGCTGCTTGGCACCTTAAATAAGTTAGACAGAGATACCCACATAGACACTTTGTACAGTCTACTACAGTAATTTCGTAAGTTGATAAAAGTGACAGTAACAAAATAAATAGCAATGTTTATAAATATTTACCTCTGAAGATCTCAATGTTCTAGATGTAAAGTCATGAACACAATCATTGAAACACAGCTCTGATAACTTGTTGTACTGCATTAGAAAATCTTTGAACTGAAAAAAGGATATTATATTAATATATTAATAAACAGTTATGTACAATATATAATAACCAGAAATACTATAAAAATTTGAAATTTGTGCAATGGTTATAAATATTGTTTAAGTTAGATCTATAAATAAAATCTTTTGGGTTTATAAATAATATATTTAAACCATAGAACATGAAATCAGGGTTAGACGACCCTCAAGCCTAAAAATCCAATATTGAAAAAAACAATACCAGATTTAATTTAGAAAAGCTTGCTTCATTTTTACATTATTCTAGTCAAGATTAAGTCAGATGCTAAAATTCTGTGCAGGAACAATTATTATACTGCATATTCTGAAATTTATATTAAAATTTGAAAATATCTTACAGTTTTAATTTGATCAGCTTCGCTCATTTCCCCTGGAGTAGTCATTTTTAAATTAAAAGTAGTTATTATGAGAAGATTTTCTACACGATTATATAAGTGGATTAATTAATTGTCTTGTTGGACTCTTCAAATGTTATATATTTATTTTGCATAAAATCAAAATCAAATCTAGATTTTGAATTTTTGAGGTTATAGTGGTTCCAGTGTACCATAGATCAAAAATAGACTATACATAATATTAGACAGACATAGACAGTCAAACTCCTACAGTTTTATATTTGCTCTATGTTTTCAAACCTGTCTGTCCAACTCAATCTAGCTGTCAATCAATGTCTGACATTCATACCATTTCTTTGCAATCTGTGGTGTACAGAGTATTAGAAACATTAAAGGAGATCTGTGCATTTTATTATCATCAGAATTTACTTAAATATTTTTATATTATATTCCGTAATTTAGTACTTTATTTAATTATAATGAATGAGAATGAAGACGAACTTACAACATTTTGTGATTCTGCGGTATGGACTAAGTTTTATTCGTAATAATTACCTTTGTGTTTTTTATGAATTACCCTCAGTTCTATTGAATTCTCAAACCTTGATTTCTTCACCAGGCTGCGTTAGTAGAAGGATGTCGCTTACCAGTTCGAATGCAAGGAGGCGATGACTGGCCTCTAGCAGAAATTATTAGTATTAAAGATATCCGTGGACAAAGAGGATTTTATGTACATTATGTTGATTGTAAGTACTTACCACTCTAACATTACTGTAATACTATAATAGATTGCTATTATTGAGCAAAAATAATATATCTATCACCACTAGGCCCCTCACTGGACACTGTAAATTAAATAAATACATGCCAAACTTAGATCTGTGATAAATAAAAATACCTAATTCTGCCAAGATGAATATGAAATGCCACTATACATCTTACATGGTTGTAGCCCACAATCGAATACTGAATTGTATATATCAATAGAATATCTCATAGGAAAATCACTATCTATCTATCTAGAGTGGATAAAAATCATTGCTCCAAAAATATCCTTTAATTCTTATCCCAGATGGATTTATGTAACAAATTCTATGATTCAAACAAGGTGAGGTGGTGAGACATGGATCATTGCAATCTATGGTAATAATTTGTATATCTCAATAGGTCACAGTGTTACAGGGTAGCCCTTAAATAAAAATAAAGTTCATACCAATGAAATCTAATACAAATACCTTATTATGACTAATTTTAACATCCTTAGTTTAATACATAGTTTTTCTAGAGTACTGTGTGACATGCGCTCACATTTATGATAAATGTTGTAATTCTGAATCATGTATTTTAGTCAATAAAAGATTGGATGAGTGGGTCGGTGAAACATGGTTGGATACACGAAAAGTGCAGTTTCCGAGGCGAGATGGTGCACCCACCGGTGGCACCACAACTCCTAAGAAGACACACATTGGATCAGGAGGTGCCGTGATGCCAAATTTTATTAGTATGTGTTGTTTAGTTTCTTTTTTATTTTCAAGTTGTTCTATTAATAATTTAATTTATTAAAAAAATAATTTCATAATAATGAATAATTAATTAAACTTAATAATGCCTTTTTCTAGTAATGAAGAATGAAAGGGTATTTATATATTTTATTTTATTAATAAACAACTTTATTATTATTAACCTCTCTCATGTGCTTTGTACAATTTGTGATTTATTTTCTGCATATTTTATAGTTTACTTAAATTATTTTCTCTGAGGGGATAATAAAATATTGTTACATTTTTTTTTATTGTTATTATTTCATGGTAATACAATTCACTGTTAATGTTTTGTGTAGAGATATAACATCATATTTATTACACTAGAAAATAGAAGTTATTTCATGCATGCTACTTCATTGTGATTTTTTTCTTAATACACTTCATATCATATTGCACGATTATTATTATTAGATTATTATTTCTATTAGAACTAATTGGCAAAAAAAAAATACTTTGCATGAGAAATCATACCCATAGATTAATAAATCATGAACTATCAAACCTTGTATTCTGCTTGGTCTTTCATAAATGTAGGCTGAATTATGTTTAAATATGTGAATATAAAATATTGGTAAGTATTGTAATATGTGCTAAAGATATGTACACCTCATACTCTCATCCATTGCTCTATTTATCATTCTTTGTGTGTATATTTATTATAATAATTATGAAACATATCAATATAACTCTATTTGGGACATATTTAGCTATTAAAAACTAATTATTTTTTCATGTACACACTGATACACTAATAATATAAGCTAATACTATGGATGTAGTGGTGTAGTTATCCTAACTGAGTTGATTATAAGCCCGTTTATTAATGAGAGGTGGAAGGAGTAAATTCATTAAATAATAATAGAACTGTTGACTAATAAAGTTCTAAAATTAATGTTACAATTAACTTTTAATAATAAAAGAATTATAGGTTTTCTTATGACTTGTATGGTGTAAAAAGACTTTTATATAACTGTTATACAGTTCTGTAATACAAAACAAAAAGAAAACAATGGTTTCCATACTATTTCCATGTATGTGAGCATCCATTCTATGTCCAGTATGTTCTTAAATGTTACAGCCAGCTTCAACTACATTTCTAAAGTGCTGGCAACACATTTTTTATTTATATCTGTATAAAATTACAGAAATATTATTAAAAATATTATACTGTGTTTATTGTTATAATTGCGAATTCATACACAAGTTACTTACATTATGCACACATACATATATTTATAAATATACTTTTTGTCTGCAGATGATAGTGTCTGCAATGAAATTCCGAAGTCTTGTAGCAATACAAATAAAGCCACTGTAGTGAATCAACCACCTCAACCCAAATTGCCCGAAAAAACCCACTTTAGCAATGCACTGAATGGTTCTGCACATAAAAATGCACATGGTATGTTCAGTTCATTACTATCTTGTATCTGATCCTGACTCCTTGATGCTTGTGCATGCTATTATTATTAATAAGGTAAGTTAATTCTTCATAATTTTACTATTCTATTTCTCTCAATATTCTGTTCCTTAACTAGAATATATTTCGTTATTTCTACCGCTTGCAGTACATGGTTTTTATGTTGTATTGAGCTTTGTGATAATTTTAATTACATAATCTTTGAAACCACCTTAGAGCTTAGAACACGTCTATTTTGTTTAGTGTGACTTATTATCTTTATATTTCACACACCTATTATCTAACTAATAAAAGTTGCATGTTTAGTTTTGGGCCTTGCAACATTTCGCAAAATAAGGGCAGTATTTATTTGTTAAAATCAAAAGGTCTAATATATCACTGTCTACATTGTATTACAGTACAATATTCGATATTAGATTCGATTCGATTCGATTGTCAATATGAAATAATTTATAATCAATATTAATATTATAATAACAGAAGTATATTTGCACATAACAGAAAACAATATTAATAACATTTTACATGAAGATAGATTGTATAACAAGAACGGACATATATATGGAACATACCACTTCAATATAATCGTCCTATTAATGTTGTTTAGGAATTATTTATTTGTGGTATCCAAACTACTAAAATCTTAATAAAATATGTAGGCATAGCTCAGCAATGAAACCAATGTCCGGTATAGCTGTATCCTTAGTGTCCTGGGCCATGCTCTGACATATTTTATATCCTATTTCGTTTATCTCTTGGACGTTTTATTATATTGCATCCTAAGTTCCCCAAGTACATCCCACAGTTCGAGCATTGCATCTCTGATCAACTTATTTTTGGGTAAGGTCCAAGATGCTAACGTATAATAAATAAAATAAGAATATACCTGCCTTTATATAGTTTAGTAGTGTATATAGTTATTATTATTATATAATATAATAAAATATAAACGTGTTGCCAATTAGCTGCAACTTTTTATTAATTGAATAAATAAATAAAATATTACAGCAAGTTTGCCTGGTGAACCACGTCAACTTATATCCAGACCTGCCAGTCCCACCTTGGGCCATGACTCGACATCGCTCGTCAATGGCGGCGCGGTTTTGGCTGCTGCCCTACAGAAGAAAATGAATAGGAAAAGGAAATCTAATTACTTGGAACCAGAGGTAAAACTTATTATGAATTGATTAGTAGGACTTATTATTAATTAAAATTAGCGTCACAACTGTTATCGCAGACGGCACCCGGCTGCGCCTGATGGTTTACGCTGGTGAACCACCAGCGGAGAATAATAAGAGGATCATCAGGTCAGGTCAATTTGTTCATCGTGACAAATTCATCCTTTGGAAAGAGAGTATTTACAAAAAAATATATAGTAGGTGGCGCATGAGTGGAAATAAGTTCGGAAATAACATGAATTAACATGAAATAAAAATTTTAATGTCAGGCTGCGCTTACCGTTTACCATCACCACCAGCCGTAAGCTTAATGGCGACTTTGTAAAAAAAATGTTACAGTCGGAATTGATCCCCGGCCCGGAAGCAGAAGGCGAGGCCCCAGCAAGTGGTGCAGCGACGCCCACACCTCGCCCGCGGCAGTCGGGCAGCATGTTGGCGCATGGACACGACGACCTCGTCACCCGGATGAAGAACATCGAGCTAATTGAGCTAGGCAAAAACCGGATACGGCCCTGGTACTTCGCACCATATCCACAGGTAAATTTGGCATGTACTTTTGGTACTTACCATTTGGTGTTGATACTATTCCCCATATCTATATAATAATCAAAATGAAATCAAATGAAATTTTATTTATCCTGAAAGGTTTATGTAGTTACAATTGGTTTTAAAATAAAATTTATATAAAAATTTACAAACAGTATAATCAGAGGGTAGGTAAACTGGCCGGCCTCCTAGGTAGGTTTATCAATAACCTATGTTTAGGAGATATTAATACTGATGTTTTCATTAGGTACTAATCAATCCGCGCAACTTCGTCTGCATCTCATTTACTAGCTAAGTTATAGCCTATCTGTTATTCTGATGTATAAGCTATATTACGGTAAATTTTCATCAAAATCTTACTTCTTATTTATTCTAATTGTGTTTATATTTATTTCTCTATTGGTTGATATTATAATGTTTAGGAAATTTCTTCCCATATAATGTCACAAAATATGAAGTAGTTTGCCGTTCTCTATGCCTATATGATGATGACAAATGAGTTTTTAAATAACTACTACTTGTATTTTATATATATTATGGTTATAAACTTACTCTATTGTTTATGGCAAAACATATAGTAGTTTTAATTAGGCAATTCCTTCTGTATTTAATATACAATTAATTGAATTTGGCTAATTAATTTATTTTATTATTATTATTTTCAGGAAATGGTTAATTTAGCCTGTATCTACATTTGTGAATTTTGTCTAAAATATAGAAAAAGTAAAAAATGTTTAGAAAGACATTTGGTACGTATACTATACAACGTAATCTCAATAAGTAATAATCAGTAGTGAAGATAAAGAAAACTTTAATATGAAATTCCCTTATTTCAGATTAAATGTAAATTAAAACATCCACCCGGAAATGAAATATACCGTAAAGGCAGTATATCATTCTTCGAAATCGATGGCCGTAAGAACAAATGTTATGCACAGAACCTTTGTCTACTTGCCAAACTGTTTCTAGATCACAAAACACTTTATTATGACACGGATCCATTTTTATTTTACGTAATGACAGAATTTGACTCGAGAGGTTAGTTCACATTTTACTTCTAGCCAAATATAGTAATGAAAGTATACTTTCATTCTAATTTAAGTAGTAGTATGTGTTGTATGACATGGACTTGTAGAATGAATGGGCCTACTAGATCCGAGAAATACTACATTACTTCAGAATACCGGCGTAAAGTATCGCATGATGAGTCTCGTTTCGGACTTCCATCGTTCACCTTCCCACCCCTTTCACGCATCGCTAATTACCATTATATAGGGTGCTCAGCTAATCGCTTACCGACCAATGTGTCGCAAGCTTGTCTGCCCGCTATAGTATGAAAAAGGATAAATCTATGTATGTATGTTAGCTTGTTATTTCTGTACTGCGAGATGGTTCTATATAGGGTTTAATGTCCAGTTTTCTTAGTACTGGTGATAGACTTTATGTAATCTCACTCTTATTTAAATGTTAAATGTTTGTTGATAAATGTTTCGTTTTGTAATTATCTTCGATTAGAGCTTAATAATACTCCAGTAATTAAACAAGATAATGTTAAAAATTTCTGGCCAGTCTTTTGTTATTTTTTTATATTGATCTAATATTCGATAAAATTGAAAATAATGTTACTGTCGTGTTTTTGTTACAGGATTCCATATAGTAGGTTATTTTTCAAAAGAAAAAGAAAGTACTGAAGACTACAATGTAGCATGTATACTTACATTACCTCCTTACCAAAGAAAAGGGTATGGAAAATTACTAATAGAATTTAGTAAGTACACAATTTCTACTGTTTTCTACGGACTACACTTCAAAGATAGGAGTTTATCTAATATCTTACAAATCTAAACCCACTGTATTTGACGCTTTTAAGAGTTTACTTCAGGCAGTATGGACACAACAATTAATCAATTGACGATATATATTTTTTTTGTTTATAAAAATCTTTACAGGAAGATGCTACAGCATGCCTATCTGTCGACAGTTCGTCTGTTTGTTACCTTTACACAACTAACCGCCTGACCGGAATGTGGTCAAGTTATATAAAAAAAGTCAACCACATAACGGAAAACGGCTAGTTTTTTTATTAAACAGTAAAGTTTAATATTAAAAATTTGATGGACGAATATAAGAAGTATTTAGATTGTTAATTTGGCATTCTATCGTTTTCAATATCACAATAGCATATGGCCTCTTAAAAATATAAACCTATATATATTTCATGACGTCTTGCAGGTTACGAGCTATCTAAATTCGAAGGAAAGACTGGTTCCCCAGAGAAACCCTTGTCAGATCTTGGGTTACTCTCATACAGAAGTTATTGGGCTCAAACTATTCTAGATATACTCATGCACTCAAAACCAGTCGGCGATAATGAGAAACCCATAATTACTATAAAGTAAGTAATTTTTTTAAAAACCTCTTAACTAATTTTATATCTATATTTTGATGTATGTATGTATATAGTACACATACATCAAAATAAAGATATAAAAATGCTATTAAATAATTAATTTATATTTTTAATTAGAATTTTAATTTTATTAATATACCTTCATGACTGTCTAACCGACATGGGATAATACGAAACTTTGTCAATCGTCGACGATATGGTGTATGCAGTACTAGACGTGGTGATACTTTATTTTTTAAAATAATATGGAGGGGGCGAACTTAGCTCACTCCTATCAATTTAGTATGTTATCGGTATTTCTATCACCGAGACATAGAGGAGAAAAAATATATAAATACGGAGAATAAAGTTATAACTTTCTGCATTTAAAAACTAATATTTTTGTTTTGCCCAAATTCGAAATCATGGCTATCAGTCAAAATCAAGGTAATCACTAGCCCCTCTGAATGTTATTTTAAATCGCTATTATTTGTTATATCTAAATAAATAAAAATCTAATTGTATTAATTGATTTCACAGTGAAATATGTGAATTGACTAGTATAAAAAAAGAAGACGTAATAAGCACGCTGCAAAATTTGAATTTGATCAACTACTATAAGGGACAGTACATAATATCAGTCAGCCAGGTAACCTTTTATATACCTAAATTTAAATTCAAATTAAAAAAAAATTATTCATGTAGGACATTTTGTCGCTTACGAACGGCAAGTTTTTTGTAATTAATATCTTATTCCCTACCGTCCTATTCTGTATACAGATTCAATTGAGAAGAATTAGCAAGAATTTTAACTAAATTTCTTATTTTTTAATACCCAATTTATTTACATTTATGCTTAGATAGGTATCTATGTCTAACATTAAATGAAAATCCGGTGCATGAACGACTATTTCCTAGTATGTTTATCATTGTAGTTGTCTATTATATATACCTACTTACATGACTGTTATAAGTCATATTACATAAAACTAATATTTTTCATGTATCATTTATACAGCAACACGAAAAGGCATTAGAAAAAAGAACATTGAGAATTGATCCCAAATGCCTCCATTGGACACCAAAAGATTGGTCTAAGCGTTCGAAATGGTAAGCAATAAATGTTATGAATATTATTTCATCATTCTTTTTGTTATTAACAAGCAAATATCATAATTATTGAAACCTAATAATGTTAAAATACTATATATCAAAAGCATCAGCTAGGTCAAAAACCATAAGCATAACCTGTGCTGAGGAGGTACTTCCTTTTACTACATCTACTAAGGAATTGACGAGTATAATTAAACGGAAATTGAAATAAACAAACGTCATATCATCAAATAAGACTAAATCGAGAACAATGTCGGTCAGTTGTTTCATTGATCACGAAATATGGAAAGAAATATATAGGTATAGGAATAAATTCCTATATTATTAGCTAGCTTTACACTACACGTTCTTTCATGCGAGAACAACAGCGCGCGCATACGTGAGTGGTTGTTTTTATATATTTTTGTGTTCACTCTTTTGCGCAGGACTGTCCGTTAGACATTAATTGACATTCACATGTCATTTCACTTTTAAAAAAAATATTTATATATTATACATTCCCAAAAATACTTTTTATAAATAACAATAATAATGTCCATTGCTCCATAGTCAAAGGTCCGCCATTTTTCACGCACGCACGATTAAAGAACGCGGGAATGCGCGTGCTGGCGGCGCGCGCGTTCTCTTTCTCATTCTCTTTGTTTACATTGACATGCACAACCAATCAACAATCTTTCCTGCTTGAAATTGCGTAGGTGTATAGCCAGCTATTGTATCGGAAATTCCAGTATCGACCAGATTATTTTAGTAATAGATTTTCTTATAATAAACATACGTCATAAGTATGTAGATGTGGAAATCTTGTTTGTGTGCTTGTAATGATGACTATGCATTTATCAATCTATCTATTGACAATGAAATAGAATGCCTATGCAAAGTTATGATGTAGTCTTAGTCTGTCTTATCTGTCTATATTTATAACTGATTTCCCCTTAGATTTATTTACTATAAAGAAAACGAAATACTTGTCTTTTTTATTTATTTCCTTCTTAAGAGTCTTGCTTAGTGTTCTGTTATATTTAATTTTGAGTAGATGTAGTAAAAGTTGTCTGTTCTTTAATGAAGTTGGATGTTACAATAGATGTTTATTAATAGATATAGATTATATGCTGCCACCATGATACTTCCAATGCATTTTTTTTTCGTTAATATAAGACCATAGAGTAATTTAAATTATATTAAATCCGTAAAGTATATTTTCTCTTTTGTCACAGCGTTTGAAGTGGTAGTGTTACCGAGATGCGAGGTATCTAACTCGAGCTTCAAAACGTACGCAGTTTTTCATTTTGTATATAACCAATTTCTTTTCGTTCTTCATTTCTTATTCACTAAAAAATAATAATCATCTTAACCTCATTCCCATCACTTTCATACATTAACAACATTCCATTTTTGCATCATCGCTAAGGTGGCTTTGGGTGTTATTAATAGTTACTTATTTTTTTTAATAAATCCATTTAATGCATGCTACTAACAGTTTTGTAGTTAAATAGTTTTATAGTTTTTTCAACATATTTTTTATAATATGCTCGTTGATAGAAATATTTCTCAACTGAGCCCAAAATCGTACTTCTATATAAATTTTTTTTTTCATGCAATCTCAATTAAGTCTATAATTTTGAAAAAGTTTTTTTAATACTGTTGTTTATTTTTAAACAATAGTGCAACTCAATCGTTCTTTTTATTAAATTGTTTATATTGCTTTCTATTCATGAGGCTGGTTCAATGAATCGGCTCTCAGGCGTTGTCTGCGAAACATTCCTCTAGTCCCTGGATATCACTTCTTTTAAGTCTTGAATGTTTTAAGTATAAAAAAAGAAAAAATATATATAATTTCTAAACATTTAATTTTCTAAATTATTCGAAAATTATAGTCACATGAAATAAGTTTACAAGTTTCTTCACGAAATAGAAAGTTTTAGTGTTTTTCGATGTGTTCGATTTAAATCTTACCATTCCTTAATAGTAAAAATAATATTATTTTTTATTACCTTTACTAAATATAATGTACATATATAACTCAAAGTACTAACATGCTCATAAAGTACACTTATTTGTTATGTACCGAACAATACAAAATCGATAACAACTCGACTTTTTCAAAGTAGGTATCATATTTAATATAAGAAGTGTAGGTATAAATCATTAATACATTTCACTTTGTAAGCATACACTCTGACTCTACCTATACAGAATGATGACTCTATTAATGTGACATTATTTTATTTTGTATCAAAACTTGGCACAAATCTCCAAGACTCAAACAACAACTCAACACACATACGATTTCGATTAACAGTCATTTAAAACTCGTTTGTTTTAAGAGCAAGATTTGGAGAGCTTGGGAGAATGTTTAAAATTAATCGAAAAGTCCGATTAATATAAAGTAAAATTTTAGCAAAATAACTGAAATCTTGACAAGTATTATATCTACAGGTATTAAAATTTGAGAATCCAAATATATTTTTTAAATAGTTGCTTATTCGCATTTGTATAGATTCATAATCACAATATATTTTACATAGAATCCAGATTCTCCATTTTCATCTTAGAGGTCAGTGACAAATTAGGCATTTATTTATCACAAACACAGTATTTCACATATCATTTGTATATAAAGACAAAACATTACTATATTATTTGTTATTCCTTGCATTTTTTTTCAGGTAACAACATACTGTCAACAAAACAATAGCTGAAGGTACATTCTAATTTTACTAGAAAATTGTTTTATTTATAGTATGATAATTTTCTAAACTATTTACATACATACAAAAGTCTTAAAGGATTCTTTTTAAGTGAAATTATCTTATACACGATCTATATTAAAAAAACTTTTAAGCGACGAGTATATGAGTATGGTATACTCGTACCTACATATTAATGTACTTTTAGTACATTGAAAGTCATAACTTGATAAATTTTGTAACGTCTTGGAATATGCTTATTTATTCTCATTAAAGTAATACGTAACTGCGTAACTATTCATAGAGTCCTTTTAAAATATTTTGTTAATAGTCCAATTCTGTACAACAACAAAACAAATTCTGTTATACGTGACGTAATATGTTAACACATAATATGTTGTTTATAATTAACATTTTGTCAATTTCATTTGAACATGTTCACTTCGTTATTAATATTGTACCTACATAGGTAAGTACCTCCATATACTGTATATATATAAACATATATGAATATACATCAGTATATTAACACAATATCTTCGGTGTTAGTATTTTGATCAAATCGGTTCTCAACAATTTGTATGTGTAGTAAATTTTGTAATGTAAGACACATGTTGTGATATTAAATAATATCATAGTTTTAATGCTGAGTTTCATTTCAGACTATATATGACATTTAATTAAGTTCTCCATAAAAAATAAATCAGTACAGTTCCACTAACAAACCTGAACCAGGTGATGCGTCGCTGTTACTAAATCTAGTATTACCACTAATCTTATTATTATTATTTATTACTTTAATATTAGTTCCAGTTTCAGCCACCGGCTAAGATAAGTTTATGATATTGTATACAAGTTAATAATTACTAAGAATAATATTCGTAACATTCCAATACCAATTGTGACAGTAAAAAAAACATTATAACCATGAGGATTATTTTTTTAATTATTATGTTCCTGTTGTCTGTATCTATGCTATACCGCTACTCTTCAGCGTAAATATGTTTTGCATTAGAATATAATACAATAGAAAATTATTTATTCAAATAAACTTAATTTAAGAACTTTTGAATAGTCATAACATTTTTTTTTATCTGCCACTCGTTCGAAAAGCTGTCTCATCACAAGAAGATAGAGCAAGAAACTTGTGTGTTGCTCTTTTAAATAATCCTTGTAAGTTTACATTTACAAGTCGAAACGTGAGAATACAAACTACCAACCAGCATTATTTTTTTTTGATCAAATATAAATATACAATAAGATTAAATCAGTCGTAGTGGTAAGAGCAGACCAGTACCTACAAGCAGCACTCGTTCACGAGTGTGACGGATGAGCCAGCTATCACTGCGCTCGACCATATTTTAGGGAGCCCAATGACCCGGCGCACCACGCCGCCACATGTCTGTACATTTTAGTGAGCAAGTCATTCCACTCGACCACGTCACAGCTACTTAAATTTTAACATAGAGAGTTGTAGCAATACAAGTGGTCCTTAGTTGGTTTTTTTAAATATTTTTTGTCATTTTATATTTAGTTGACGTACGAATATATAATATGAAGAGGATCTAGTAATAAAAAAAGAGATTTTTTTTAAATATAATAATAAGTCTTTATTTTTACATATACGATAACAGGATTATACTGGATCCTTATTACAGTACTTAGTTATATGACTGTGTTATAATTAGTTATTTACTGACACTCTCTTTGAGAATAGGGAGAGACAATAATTTTTTTAACGTCAACTCGATGGTTTTTGTTCACAATCTATATCTGTAGGAATGTGGAATAAATGTGGTAGGTTAATATATTTGAGTAGGTAAATGAAATTCATGTGTTATATGCAATACAATGATTTATTTCATCTAATAAATAAGCGCAATAATTTTGCTTTGACTGTCAAAATACCTATTTATACATTAGTCACGAAGCAGGTACAAGTGATGTTCACAAAATCTAACCCTACACAAGTCAGATAACAATTACCCAATGACATATACTTTTATATTTAATACAATACATCTAAAATCTATTTTTAAGCTCACTGTTTAACAATAAACATTTAGATGATATAAATTCTTTGTGACAAAAATATTTAAGATATCCCAATATAGCAATTAAGCATTAGTAGAATAGCAATCAAAATAATCCATTTATTAATGACTTAAAAGTTATTCTATAACTTACATAGTATTGAATTTTATACTTATTTAGCAAAACTTGATGCAAATTATACATTTTATGTATACCATTTTTTTTATTGTTTACTGATACGTCGAGGATATAAGTTCTGAATTAGAGAGTTTACAACTCAGGGACAATTTCTTGAAATTATCAAAATCCAATATTTTTGCCGTATATTCAGATTATTCAGAGTAATTCAGGCATATGATAAATTTCTTTCAGCAGTGTTAAAAAACAATATATTAAAGAGAAAAAGTAGGCAAAAATTGTATATAAATAATTATAGGATCCGTAATAATATACAAATAAAAAAAATCTTACACTGATCTGTGTACACATTTTAATAATAATTTCCGTTAAAAAATTCTATTGCACCAGAAAATAAATTTTACACGGCCAGGCAGAAAGAAATATCTATCTTTAATATATATTAATTGCATTAACAATGTCAGAGTAATATAAAACATTTGGGATTAGGGAATTGTCCATATACCTAAATGATTCGGTTTGTAACTTAACTTCCTGATTTGGTAACGTTGATGAAAACTACATAATCCCGAATGTTATTGCCTATATATTATTAATAAAATAATGTTATTTCTTACATATACCAAGTACAAATTAAGTAGATATACATAGATAATATCTTAACAACATTATTAAAAACGAGTCGCACCTATCTAATATTAACGGAATTTAACATATGTAATAAACGGTTGTTAACATATACAACTAATCAAAAACTGTCATTATACTTATCTATAATATACCTATGGAAGCAATCTATGAGAAAACGTTTGAATTGAAGTATTAGTATGTTAAAATAACGAGGTTTTCAAAAAATTGATTTAATACTAATGTTTTATTTAACAAAATTACCAAATCCATTCTGTAACTACATTTTACTTTTCGATACAAATAAATATTGATTCAAAATAAATTCAGGAGGGCATTAGCTAATACTCAATCCAAACGTCGGAAGAATGGCAGAACGAACTTTCTTAAAACAATTTAAATCACAACTGTACCTTCTAAAGCTAATCTTGTGCGTAAGATTACAACGACGGTACATTCAAACTACAAAAAGACAAACATATAACGGCGAACTGCGACCACAATAAGTTTACAACATATTCTAGAAATCATGTCAAACATAATTGTGTTGAGTTCGTTATATTTTTAAAAACAAAACCGTAAACTAAACACTAGTTGTTAAACAACAAATAACAATGTCTGAAATTCATGTAAAACGTGTACAGTAAAATATTTTTTATCACAATAATTAATGTTTTACTAACATTATAAAAATAAATGCTCACACGACTGACATTTACGCTGCTACAGCAGCCAGACTAGGGTCAAGGCACTATCTTATTAATAACGCAACGGCCTTTTTTAAATGTTACCTGGGCATTCAGGCTATTCTTGTAAATATGTTCATATTTCTGTTCATATCGAACCTTAAACTGAATTACAATTTAGTTAAATAGATATTCTTCAGTATTTTATGACATATGAGAATCTAATAAAGTGGTTTATATTCATTTCTGTGTTTTATAGCTTATACTTAGTTAAACTTTAAACCAGTTGCATAACATTATTACATAATAGTACAACTCCAGTTATTATGCTTTATATTATGCTCATGATTATTAAATATAACTATTCGGTCTTTAATATGAAATAATTTATATAAATATATCAAACTTTCTAATATTTAAAGAAAGTTAACAGCTTGTTAACGCACACACGATTAGTGTTCTGTCTAGACATTTGAAATTTCTCAGTGTTAATTAGGTGTTCAATAATTGAGAAAGCACCTACTTTCTCAATTAGACTAGTTAGAAATAGCGGCAACCAATTTCAATAAAACTAGTTAAAACATATTGCCCAATAGACTTTCTTCTCTGTTGTGTCAAAATCATCTTTAAGTTTTCAATTTTGATTGTGTAACTACCAAATTATGGGATTCCTGTATTTTTTGTATTTATCGGGACATATTTAGTATTTATAACAATACTTTATAACCGACAATAATTTATTCTCTATTTCTCTCTTGATCTATCTATAGCCCAGATAAAAAATAGTATTTATTCTAAAATGTATATGATATATCAACAGAATAACATAATTGTGATCAACCCTGCCCATATTATGAGACACATGGTTGTAGTAGGCACATGTAATGAATGTTAGCGCAAAATTAATAAATATATTATTTATATTTACTTTGAACATATTACAAAAGGGAGCAAACGTATTGAAACAGATAGGGCTATACTTATATCTAAATATTTTAATAAGGTCACAAAACTAACATAGGATTCCAGAAAACTATTTTTTTTAATATAATAATTATTGTAACTACTGGTACATAGAATAATTGTTTACATTTATTACTTGTTTTGTTATTGTTAATTAGAAAAAAAAAACATTTTTAAGGCATAACGTTTTAGTCTTTTGCATGTATACTTTATATATAAAATTCTTATATGATTTATATTTTAATTGTTCAATTACAGTGCTTGATTATTTCTAACATACGCTTATAATGTACCAGTATTTATATATAAAGACAAAGCATTTTCTTATATTCTTATATTAATTTACATGACCCGATTAAGTAATAAAATATATCCAAATATATTTTTAAGTATTTTAACAAACTTACACCTTAATATTCTATATCACGTCTTACGCTGAGTAAAAGCACCTTAAATATATAATATACATATTTGTATACTTAATCTGTGATATATTTCTCTGTAACATAAAATAGAACATCGGAATTTTTAACAAGAGGTATTTTTTCCATTATATTGTACTGTAAGTTATAGCAACATAAAACGGCATGCACACGACACTAAATAAAGGACAATATCGGAACAGCGGTAGAGTGTGCTCATCAAACCGTTATTACATTCACAACCCCTACTCCAATATTAGCTGTAATTTTAATATTGTGTGTAGTCCGTTTAAATTATAAAAATATGAAACTACAAACAGTTAAGCACATTACGAGAATATCTCCATTTGTTATAAAATATATCTTATTATGCCCCACGTATTTTGTATATATATAAGCAAGCCTATGTATCTAGTAGATACTGATAGATGCCAACTTAAGATACCTACAGTTTTTACTGTTCCTATTCGCAAATTCGTTATATTTCAATTGCTACAATATATAGGGACTAGGGGCTTAATTTATCCGAATATAACGTCATAATCTCCGTGTTAAGTCTCAGTCAAACATCGCACCCACTAAATTAATCAGATCTCAATTTATAAACATCGTGAAAACATTTTGTACAGACCAAAGCAAAATTATAGAACTTAAAAAATAAAACTTATATTTTATGTTAGACATTACCGTTCTAAATAAAGTGAAACATGTGATTTATACCTACCTACCGAACTTTTGTAGATATTCTGGGACGCAACTTCCCCAAGGCCGTTGAAATATTTCAAAGTATACGTAACATTAGACAAATTTTAAGTCAATAGGTGTATCATAAATACATAATAATATCTAATGTCTTGCACAAATACTGCAGACTGGACAGTTTAGCGTTGAAATTTTAAACTTAGGCACTGTTTAAGGTTTGCTGTTGAATATTATCCCCCACATCTTGTATTGCAGATACCATATTATTAAATCTACGCTGTTGTTCTACACAGTAGACATACGATTTCGTTTCGAAATGAATCCCCGCCGCAACTTTCTGGCACATTCATAATTTAGTGCTTTAAAAAAATATCAAAGAATTTTAACTTTTACAATTTCATTATCACAATAACATTTAAAAACATGAACAAACGGAAAGTTAATTTCAATCAACGGTGATACTCTATTTCGAATTTTAACTCCAATTCTTACTTATACGTATACACATGTCAAAATAAATTTTGGACCCGCAAATCATGGATGTATTTCTTACTAGACAAGGCATCTGTCATTAAGGCCATTGTTGAGTTTAGATTGTGCGTCCACAACAGCGCCGCTATAGCTATGACACTGTGGCGTGGTCAAGTTATAGTTCGCCTCTGTCTCGTAATATTCGTGTTCAGAATCAATTGGTACAAGCAGATTTGTTGATTTAGGTAGAAAACCATCAGTATTAACGTAATTGGTATCGGAATTGGGAGGTAAACTGAGAACACTGTCAGATCTCGTGTAATCCACGTCGGCTAGTTGTGGTGCTCCGTACAGATTGTCTAAAGACGGAATAGGATCTATGGAAGAATCAGCGTTGAGGGATGTCGCGCAGGTGTAACTGGAGGCGAGGATGTTTGCAGACTCGGGCCTGATGTATGGCGACTGCGCTTCGAAGCTGGTTGGGAATGTGTTAGATGACTCGTACGACCGGAGCATGTTATAGTGCGCTGTTGGAGACTCCCTTGCGTTTGAATTGTTGTTTTTCACGCATGAGGATGCGTGCAGTGATAACATATCCACTAGTTGCCGCTTTTGTACTTCCAGGTCCTGAAATATAATAAAAAACATTAACGATTATGTTTTTAATGTTTGTGACTTAAATCGCTCAGCCAACAGAAGTTATATTCTCCCATATATATTATGCAGTTAAGCATTGATTGAACGGAAGTTTATTTGCCTTGATTATATACCATTTCGCTATGAATTTTCAGCCTTTAATTCATTGTATTATAAGTTTTTTTTTCTTTCTTACAACTCTACTACTGTACATATATATTTGCAAATTTGTTCGCAGTCATCACTAAGTACCTATGAATTAAATAATTATTAAAGATTTTTTAATCGTTTATCACGTATAATTGTCTATGTTTACTTATGTTATAGATAATTGTGACACTTGGTTTTTTGTATTTGATTGTTGGTTCTGTCACCTCAATTGCTCAACTACCAATTATCACGAAATTTAGTTTACGAGTAGTTTATGGTATGAATAAAAATATAGACATCTTCCCGGCCCCAGTACAATTTCAATCAAGTTACCCTGTTGCTTAATCATTGTTATATCTCACCTTTAGCTGTGCCTTTAGTTCAATGTTTTGAGTTTCCAACACTTCACTTTCCGTCACTAAATTCACGGTTCGCTCGCGTTTTTTAAGTCTACATTTTGTTGCTGCTATTTTGTTCCGTTCTCTTCTTCGCCTCCTACGTTCTTCATCTTCTGGTGTTAACTGTAAATATTAATTAAAATTCTTTTAAAATGTGAATGGATATCACAGTATCTGTTTATTTTATTAAAATTTTCGGAGGGTAGAGTTAAATTCTTAAATTATTCATTGATTAAAAAGAAATCACTGATGTAATCGTAAATAAGTATAATCCTTAAATCAAATTTTGCTACTTTTATTGAAACACTACCGGTGACTGGTATTTGTCACGTTAACTTTCAAAATCAGGAAGTTAAGTCACGAACGATTTCTCATTATCGATGCCTTCTTAGTAAGCTCATAAAACATCAATGACGCCGTTGAATTATAATGCAAAAACAAAAGCCATTAAAGTTCAGATACGATCCGCAACACATGATCACTATCTGTTTAGAAGTTACTGCAAATACTGATATATACCTTCGCGACTGTAATATATAATGTGGTCAGAAGAATTGAAAAAATGCACTTACAGTATGCCACTGAGCAGATTTGATGCAACATGTTAGACATAAATTTACCGCCTATGTCAGGTTAATTTGGTTTGTTGTAGATGTTTCCAAAATTTATTTGAGTTGGGTTGTCTTACCATAAAACTTTTTTTTAGTATTCCACCGAAGTGTAATATCGTATATCTAATTAACACGTACCCCATCACTTTTATGTGTCATAGTATGGCTGCTATCGTATTCCTCGTCGCTTTCTTCTTTTTTCATCCGTTTTATTCCGATGTCAGTATCGCTTCCCGACATTTTTCTTTTGGACTCGATCGACAACTTCAAGCCAGCTTTTATTAATTCCGAGCAAGTCTGAAAAAGGAAAATATATATTCCTATTAGTCATAGACGTAAAATTTACTCGTATTCTGATGCTTATATCAAGAATCTTTGTTATAACTTGGTTGCAAGAGCGAGACATGAGAGGCGCAAGTAAATATTTGAGGTTAAAGCAAAATTTTACATCAAACAATTTTATAGTTATACCCAAAGGCAAACTATACTAAAAAAAAATATTCCTTAATCTTTGGTGTTAATACGTAAATGAAAAAGAAAATAATTAATTGTAAATGCATGTGCTATCATGAATAAATAAAAATAATAAGATTGCTGATTTCGATCGCTCAATGGTACTTATGACAGGCAACGCAATCTTATTATTACTTTTTTACACCAACGAGCCTGATTTTTGAAGGTCTGATTGGAGTTAAATCTGTCCTTAGACGTCTTTATGAATTAGAATAATCACTAATTGATTCCTAAGTGATCTTGAGTAATGTCAATAATTAGTAATTTATTATTGAATCGGGCTAAGTGAGTATTTAGTGTAGGAATTGTGTGGGAAGATACTCTTATATAGTGTAATGATGACATATTTAAAATTACCTATGTTTATTTACATAGTGTGGCATGCTTTTAAGTGCTCTCGGAGAAGAATTTACACATAATTGCTGATCATGGGTACCTATTTTTTCACATTACAATGATTCATGCTTACTTTATATTGATTGAATGACCCTATCAAGGACGAGTTTCAAGATTTTATTCCCATTCATGATGAAATAAACAAAATGGAAACCGTGAGAATCGTAGAATTACGTATAGCCTAGCATTATTGCCATTTTGTATCTACAATTGCTGATTGCAGACTGAAAATACTATTAGTTTTTAGTGACAGAAATATGAAGAATAATGTAGATAAGTATGTATAGAATCGTACTGATTTAATAAGTAGGTAGATAGTTATATTGTATTAAAATAAATAGAGATGCATGTTGTCTATGTAATTATCTGAATAATAATTATTTTCTAGAAATAATTATTACTGTATCCAAACTAATTACGAAGAATATAATTAAATTGTTTGTTAGTTTTGTAATTAATAATGATGAATTTTTTTGTACAGCTTATACATAAGTGGCTATATGTAATATGGTAAAAAATAAGGTAAGTTAACCAGTTAACTATATATATACCTATTTAAAAACTAACATGGTCCACCCGCCTACTTTAGCGATATACGAGTACGCTTTCGAGGCACCAATGGAGTATGGATGGACTGATGGATGAATAGGATGAACATGAAGTCAGCTCAGTTATAGCCTATTGTGGCGAAATCAGCAGGAATTTACGACTATATTGCCACGTGGGACGCGGCCATCGCATTAATAGCATTGGAGCACCTGCCCCGTTACAAACAATCTACTCTACTTTACTAACTAAATAGTAATTTTACAGTTTTTGTTGTCATAGCAACGCTTTACTGTCCCACGGCTATGCCTGAATTGTAAGTAGATACTTTTTTAGGTACTTTCTGGAGTCTGGACGAGGTATTACTCGCAAGAGGTAATATATAGTATTATTTCTCCAGAGAAATTCTTCGTTCATTAATTCATGATAATGGCAATATGCGTTGTTTTGGTATAAGAGGTAAGTTAGTAGCAGTAGACGCAATAGGATCCCAGGTCCAGATCCCATCCCAAGGTAGGAGTGACGTCGCAATGACGCGCGAGGGTGCTGTGACAAGGTATTTCCTTTATGAGAGTGGAATGGTTCACGAGTTGACGGTCCAGTCCATGGTAACTGGTATCGCCTATATACCTACACGAAGGGCACCAAAGATCTCACGTTATCATGTAACGACCGTGATATCACTCCTGTGTACACATTCTGGAGGACTAAGACTCCATGCATCAATACCCTTCATTTCACTGTTTTATCTCACCCTTAAATCGAAACAACATGAAAAATAAGTTGTTTGACTGTTAAAATAAGGAGACAGAGGTACCCACGCAGACATATATGTGATATGTGCATAGTTTACCTCGTTAAATAGATTTTCTGGTTTAAGAGACAATATGACCACAGTGGGTAAGAGGACGGACGACGCCTTAAGGTGCTATAGTTAGTCATAACAATGTATAATTAAAGTGGCAGGTTTTTCTTATGAACTATTCATTCGTCTATTGTTTACGTATACATTACCATCTGTAGGAATAAACTCTATTCTTTCTGCAACAGAATACGTACTATATCTAAGTAATACCACAGACTGCAATACGTAGACACATATTTCATGAATGAATGTACACGCATATACATTACTCACACATTTCCATTTATGTATAGACACAACCGTAAAAATTCCTATACCTATTTACTTGCTTAATAAGAAATATCATCTTTTCTGCCAAAATTAACGCAATTCCATATTAAAAATATGACTTGTATGTCAATTCTATAAAAGAAATCGACATTTATCTATTACAGAATAATATTTTTATAACAATTAACATTTCTCATATATATGTACTATGAAATATATATATTATAAGACTGGGAAATGCTCTAGACGTTTTATATTTAAACTTATTTTTAATAAAGAAACTTGAGACATTTGAGGGCATAGTTTTGATAGATTATGTTTCTTTTCAAAAATACTAATTCTATATCCTACCTAATGTTGACATTAGTTAATATGGATTCTGCAACTGATTGTAGGTTGTTTTGTCTCAAGTTATATGAATTCTGTTAGAAGTGACGTAGGTACAATAATTTATGAGCAACATTCAATTCAATAGCATTGTATTTTAAATCGAATTATGACCAAATTCGTTGTCATAAAAAACTGGAAAATGTATCGGATTGCTGTTTAGAGCATGACTCAGAAACGGACACATTTCCATTTTTATGTTATTAATCGTAATTTTTGAAATACAATATGTTAATTGGGGTATAAATATAATAAACAATATAGAAACTTATATATAAGTATGTTTTATGTGTATATTATTATAGTCACAATGTTTTAAAGTCTATATATTTTACGAGAAATGTAAAATTATAATTTATATCTCCGTTGCCAGTTTTGTTTTCCGCAGTATGTAATATATACTATATATTGAGAATATTTGAAAAATATCGCCGTATCCTTGCCGACAGTGGCCTAAAAAAAGAGCTTTTTTGTAATTTCGTCTGGTTCTAGTCAAAAAAATATCGTATTCTATTAAATGTGAGTGCCATTAAATAAGAGAAACAGTTGCTAATAGAAAATTAAATAGAGTGGTCAATGTATGCTTTTTTATTGTTCTCAAACTGAATGTTACCACTAGAATTGTATGTTAGCTGCTATAAAACAGTATGAAGTCTTAGTCACCTTTTGTATGCTTGGTGGAGTGCCAGAGGCTGGTGACGTCGCTGATGAACCGTTGGACACGGATGAATTCGAGTCGCCGCTCCCACTCTGTAAAATATTAAATTTCTATTATTTAATACATTTGAATAAATTACCAAGCCTTCTGACTAATGTGATATGTAAAAGCTAATGTGATGATATTAGCCCCTTTATTGAAAAACAACTTTAATGTGATAAAAGGGTGGTTACGACAATTCCTAATAATAATATAATTTACTAACTAATTAAAAACTACTAATTAGGGTTGGAATTTTTCAAAATCCTAAGTGATGCCTATGTCATAGTAGCTTTATGCATGCAAAGTCTCAGCCCGATTGGTTTAAAATTGACAAAGTTTCATACAAACTTTCATTCCCTATTCCCCTTGGGGTTAGAATTAATCAAAATCCTTTCTTAGCGGATGCCTACATCATAACATCTACCTGCATGCCAAATTTCAGCTTTATCCGACCAGTGGCTTGGGCTGTGCGTTGATAGATCACTATGTCAGTCACTTTTGAGTTATAAATATATATAGATTTTGTTCTTTAGAAAAATCAAAACTTCTGGTGTGCCTAAAAAATAGTTTTCGGATTATTATCTAATTAACCCTGCGTTTTTGATCTCTAATTTCGAAGCTTCAGATTTGAATACAATTCTTACTGATGATATTTCACGTATCAATTAGTAGTTATTTCATACTGAACACGTAATTTTGATCCCTGTTAGGACGCGATGCGACAGAAAAGGGCGATCGGAAAAGTTATATCTAGTACTTCTTATCTTATCTATCTTTAGTTACAGTATAGATTTTCTAATCTATATTTGGCTTGTTTGATAATAAACAGGCACAATAAACTTTAAAGTTGTGAGTTGATCGCCTATGTTATCTGTAATCCAACTAGAAAGTAGGTATACATAGATAACAAATATCTATTTACGTACCTGTAAAAATACTTAAATAGACTTCCGTTATCTTTGTTAGTTTGAAGTTAAATATTTAATTGTATTAATTTGAACTTCAGTATAGGTACAGCTGTAATATTAAAGGTATATTCATCAAAATTCCACTTGAACTTGAATAGTGCTAGTTATTTATGAAATCAGTTCTCACACAATCTGTTTTTCTTGTGACTAGATGGTGTTGTGTGAATTGTACAGGGTTATTATTATTATTATCCTTCCTCTTTATAATATAAGTATACCTACAGATGAACGCCAATAGTAAGTATTCTTCTCTTTTAAAGAGTCAGTAGTCAAACGTACCTAAATTAGAAATACATATCTAACAATCATATCAATAAAAATACATATCTGAAATTCAACAACGGTATGTGCACAACAACAATCCGCATAAAAATGAATATGTGGGACCACGCGGTTTATGATGGTGTAACGTTTTTCAGTATTCCGAAAATACATTAATTAAATAATAAATTTAAACAACAGCCCTAACATAGCTATTATGTACGACAACTAAGTTGAATGGCACACATTATACATAGGTATAATTATTATAGCTATAGAGCTATTAAAAAATTTAAGGTCAATGTTACAATGTTGCCAGCGGTAATAAAATGTCCAAAACAAAAAAATCCAGATAAAAAGTCTTTTATTCTATTACTATGTTTCGCTGTAACTTCATTGCTTATCTATATCTTATTTAAAGAGCCACCAATAACATATAAAAACTTGAGAAGTGTCAGTCGCTGACGTATTCTTGCTATATTGCGGTTTTATAGCAAATGAGCGAATGAACAACCCAATGGTAAGTGGTGCCTGGATGTCTGTTTCTTTTCAGTGCGAATACATGATCTGCATAAGGTACATGACCTCATAGTGTTGCATGTTACTGACGACGATGTTATTATTCAATGCTCTAATGAAGCTTTGATGGTTCACTCACGTGACTATGCTACGTGGCAACCGATACTTGGCAGCTATTCAAGATACATGTAACACTTATTTTGTATTCGAGCCGGCGACATAGATGTGACCCAAGTAAAGGGAGGCTCTTGCAAGCTACACCGCGCATTTTGATCATTTGTTGCTCATCGCAACAGGATGCCGACTAGTATTAAAATTGTCGGAGGGATGACTTTCGATCTTGTTATTGATCATAAAAATGATTCCCTAAATGCGTAGGCAGCGTTCTGGCTTCAAGCCCCGAACAGTCATGCTTGTTTACTTTATGCCGTCCTTGCAAGATCATACATAATAACGAAAACAGTAAAATGCATTAGACGCTCAATAATAAGTACTTTTTGTCAAAATTGTATAACAAATCAAAATTTTTGTTACTAAGGCCGACTGGAAGAAATAGTTCTTATTGGATAAGACCGCTATTGTACTATACCTACCTAATATTTTTTTCCTTAAAAATAAGTGTGTATTAGTTTTTAAAACGTATTTGTAGTTAAACATTATGTAAAACTGTACAAATAAACTATTATGAATACAGCACACTACATACTCATAGTTCACGCACAAATTAAGTCAGTCAGTGGGAAATGAAATAGTAAACTCAAACCGTAAACTCACCTTAAAACCGGAATTTTTCTCGTTATAATTATACTGGTCCAGGGGGTTTGTCATAGTGATTACATCATTGACAATTTCTGGCGTCCTGAGTGTCGTGGCGTTTGGTGTTTCAGCACTCAAGAGGTTGATCATAGCAGCACTAAGGTTCACGTTCACGCTTAAATTGTACGCGCCATTTGCCGTTGATTCACCATCGGTGCCAATCGGCGCCGAAGGCGATGGAGACGTGTCCTCACACTTAATAGTTGGCACTGTAGAACTCATACTCGATGAGTTCATTATATCCTTGTACGGAGCCAGCTTCGCTTCTTTTTGGTTACTTTTACACTAAAAACTATTGGTATTAGCACCTAGATTTAGTTCTCTATATATATCACGGTTATGCTCTATTATATAAAACTATATCACTTCTTCTGGTAATCTGGATTTTAATGGCACTTAAGTCTTCTATACTAGAAGTCTTCACGGGTAACGTTCGTTTCACTGGTATACCTGTAACAAACGAGATATCATAATCATAAATATGCTTAAAACTTCTTTGTCGTGTCTCAAGGCTAACAAATGGCTTCGATAAAATCTGGATATTGAGCTATAAAAGGGCAAGCATAGTATTGCAATTGGGCAATTTGCAGTGGCCATGCTTTCGTAAGAAAAGAGTATGCGGCCAGTTTTAATTAGAGCTATCTCAGCGACGCGGCCTCGCAGGCCAGGATGCTACTCCAATAAAACGCTTTTTACAAGCCCCAATTGAATACGAGTCATAAAGTTGAAACTACACTTTTTACGACGTATTTTAACGCTCTTCCGCGTGGTGTGTCGTCTCAGTCTATTGTTCGGCGCATATCGCAACGAACGGATTAGCACTAACACGGTCTTACAAGGACACTTATAGATTAAGCAATTAACAAGCTCCGCACCGTCGATGCCAGGATCAGACAACATTATATGGAAATTAGGGTTTTATATCGTATAATTAGAACACGATTCGTGACAAAATTTTGCGATCAAAACAGGAGCTGAAATATGCCAGTTCCATATTTGTATAGCTTGCGAAGTCGAAAGCCGTCCAACGCCTTGACCCGCGCTGTGTATCTATACACTATCTCATATCTATGGCACGTAAATACAATAAAGCACCGATTCAGAATAACCTACTTGCGACTACGGATTTGCTTATTCCAGTCGCGGAGTCTGAGGAAAATGCCGCTGCCAAAATATGGTTGGATGGATGCAATGAGTGAGCGATCTCAAGGTTTATATTTTTCTTACAAAATTAAACTGGCAAATTTATCGAGACGGTTATTCTAACCGGATGCTTTTAATTCAATGTTTGACATGTATCGTGTTGTAAAACTGTAAAGTAAAAAAAGAAACGGGTAAAATCTCTAACGTTTTGCGTAATGCTAAATATCCAATTTGGTCGGTAGCTGCTGGCCTGTTTGGCGAACAAATCAAATACATCTGTGCAAACAGATGTACAAGAGTTGCCAAAGATTTTGTTTTCTCGTACTAAGCGACTGATGATGAAAATCAGTAAAATCATTGTTTTACAATATTAGATAGTAGGTATTGTAGTGGAGATAGAATCGATACCTGTGATGTAGGAATCTCTCATTGTAAGAGAACGACCTCTCATAGGAAGAAGCTGGACCCTGTAGTTGTTAATAGACGGGAAAGGAGACTAAACAATAGAGAGTAACGTTACTATCTAACATTAGGAATACCATCAACGGCCACGCATCTCTCCAGGAAACGATTGTGAATAATTCCTAGTGAATTGCTACCATGGGTCAACTGACTTAACTTCATGATCCTATTATTATCACAATATTGTGTACCATTAACATGAAGAGTGTATTAATTTAACTACCTATATTAATTCAATTTATGAAAACATGAATTATTAAAATACATAATATGTGTAAAGCATTAGTATCATATACTAATTAGCTTTAATAAGTTCTTTTTAAAGTAAAACTGGGCGATGCACTGCGTAGGCTGTAAATACCCGTGACTAGAACGTACAATTATGTAAATCCGGTGGGTAGGTAGGCAGTAGGACGTCCGTCCACGAAAAAGGGAAAAATAAATGTATCCGTTTGGTGCTGCGTAGGATCTTGATAAATGTATTTCTACCTTGCCGATTGCTTTTATTACAATACGTCCTTCTTTGTGTATTTTTATTTCTAATTCCAATGTCTTTCTTAAAGCGTCGTTATATTTTAAAAGAAACACATATTTTATTTTTTTTATTATAAGTGGAATAGGTATATAATAAACCCTATTGTAATATAAATACTGTTATTGTTACAGATGATTGTTCATTGTACTACAACAAATAATTAAGAATATGCAATATATTTATTTCATATCAGTTAATTAGGTTATTATTAATTTTTAAATAACTAATATCAGTAAAAAGACGTATAAAATTGTTCAGTAAATATGCCACGTACAGAAAAGGATAGTAACGTATTTAGGTCACTTAACGCGTTATTGCGTTTCGTTTTAAAGCTACTTGTAGTCCCCTATTTTATTGCTTAGCAATGAAAGTGGATGTCGAGGGTTCTACGAGGCTGTGTTAATATATAAGTAGGTATAGTAATGTGACTATACACACCATACGTCGGTTGGGACAATCCCGATCTCGGGCAGCTCGTCCTGTAGTTCCCAATAATTTCCTCATTTGCAAAGACACAACTATCAATTTTGATATTTTTATATTCACTGCATTAATAAAGTATCATAGGTGTAAAACTATTTTGTTAAGGCTTACATAAAAAATGTAGAAAGATTAGATATATGTATGTACAAGCTCAATTCAAACTTGAAAACTAGACCAAAATTTTGAAACTGATTTGCTCCTACAATTAATAATAATAAAGACGGCGCCATCTCTGTACTATGAGTAATGCCTACTCATAGCACTGACATTAATAATTAAATACATTTTTTATACTACTTCAGCCTATCTGATAGTAAATGTTTACCTTAGCCATACATAATAAACATACATAGAAATCAATACAAAGAAACATGAGTTAGAAAACTGTTAAATCAATGAAGCCGCCTAATTATAAAACAATGAACGACATTGCTTAGTTGATTAAGTTGCTATATATATTCTTAATTTTGAATCAACAGTAAAATCAGTTATTTCTTTTCTAAATTATAGAAGCTTTCCGCCCTGAATAAAACTAATGGTCACCATATATGTAGTACGAGAAGTATTTCTAAAACGACGTAGGTAACGAACATTAAAGCGGAGGTCGACTCGTCTCTTTGTCCTTTTGCGTCGAGAAATGGGTGACCTAGTTACGACCGCGCCTGCTGCGCACCACAAGCTTACTATGCGTGACAATATAATTGCATTCTTTTTATTAGAATTGTTATAGAATTATCCTTTACTAGCCGTAGCCCGAGGTTTTGACTGCATGGTGAGGTTGAATTGAAATTATTTGAAGTCGTACCTAAATCGAGTTAAGTTTCACATTAAAACTTTTTTTAATAACCCACGCTATATGATCAGACAAGAGATATATATGATTACAAAAATATCAAATTGTACAAATGACAATATTAAATGATGAAACTGTTTAAGAATACAATCTATTACTGTTTTTCATCTCAAGATAAAGATTTTTTAGGGAAAAAGACAAATAAACATCGGCGTGGTATACTCGTAATTCTAACCTTTCCACTTGCCATATACAGCTTAGTATAGGGTAGTAATATGTACTTAGTAGGGTAAATCGCCTTGTTATGAGGAGAGACCCGTCCCCTTTTGGCAACATTGGGGCGATAATGGCTTCTTACAAGACATATAGTGTTATAGTATAATATTGTATATTGTTAAAGTTTTATAATATGAAATTATATCGAAGCATTAATATATATTTACGTACTCAAATATAAGATAGGTATTATTTGTATACATGGATGTGTTTCGTATCTATTATTTATAAAGCCAGTCATTATAAACAATACAATTGTGATAAAAGTCTAGATAATAAACTGTAATATATTAGTACTTATATATTTATAGTGTACAGCCTGATCAATATACTTAAATTAAAATGATTTTTATTATAATTAACTTAATATAAGCACTTTTGATAAGTGATATTCTTATTCCACAAATTATTCAGAAGAAGAAGAGAAGGCAGATTCAGGTCAGAAAACAAGAAATTCTGGTTCTTTTAAACAAGAATTAGTTAAATGTTTAAAGTGACATTTGTTTTTAACATCAAACGTATATAACCTATATGATTCAAATTATTATTTATTAAACTTTAAATACTAAGATACTTTTAAACTTAGCAGCTGGGGTAATATTGTAGCATTTATAAATTCTCAATACACGGACGTACCTGGTTAACGATCACTGTTGATCCCACCTACTTGAGATTATGGTTGTTTACAATCTTAAGTAGGTGGGATAGTCTTGCCCTTGCCAATAATAATATTTTATCTATTACTAACACTGCTATATAGTAGTAATTAATAGGAAGAGTCTTAATTATATTTATTATTATTTGTAGAAGGTCCTCTGCGTGGGTACGTCATTCTCGTCTATTTCAGCTACCAAGCAGCTTGCTTTGTAAGCTGTTTTGCTTGAATGGTGAGATAGGATAATTACAGGATAAGAGACATCACGAAGTAACATTTTAGTTCTCCGGAACAGCAACGCATGACTGGTATCAGAGGCGTGACATGATAACGTGATGTCCGTAGAGCTGTTTATGTATATAAGAAATACTTACCATCACCTTGTTTGCCATTCCAATTATATTATAGGTATAAATATATATGTAAAGATATCATCACAATGTTTCATATGTATCTCAAACTAATTAAATTAAATTTTTAATTTACTATCAATTTTACATAAATAAGTTTTGCTGTCGCGAGTTAGCAATTGTAATCAAAATTTTAGTATTAAGAATCCAGTAGTTTATCTATCAACCATGTTATTAAATATGCCATTAATATTACAAATGTTAAATTGTTTGTATGTTCGTTAATCAATTATATTTAATCCCTGGACGGATTTAAATTAAATTTCAACACATTCGTAGATAACATATGTACTTTGTAAATATTATTACGAAACAGCTAAACCTAAACGAGTGCAAATTCCGCGAATGTATTATAACAAAAAGTATACATAAAAATTATTGTTTATTTTATACCAACGTACATACATACAATAGTATATACTGTTTTGTAAATAAATGTACTTACAATAAAAATGGCGTTGAATGCAACTTTATTATTACTTGAATAAAATATGTACAATTACCTACGTACACAATAGGAATGTTATCTATAATTCAGATGTGGTGAAGGACGTATTTTTCAACCGTTTAACATTTATTGTACTTGGTTAAACAATGCAGCGCCATTAGTCGCAGAGCGGAAACAACACAGTTAACGAATCGAAATTAGTCTATGTAAAATAGGTTAAACAAGGGGCGCCGCAGCCTATTATT